ATGCTCCCAAAGCCCCGCCTTTTTTCAAAACCTGCCAGTACTGGAGACTAAGTAACCTCAAGTTGTCTACTGCTGTTTCCCACAGAATCCTGGTGATTGGGTAAAAGGAGTCCAGTAGGGAGCTGTGAAAAAAAGAGCGGCATGGCGACAGGTCAAAGTTTGAGGCTTAGCCACGCCCACACCTTTCAACTTTTGAAAAATCCGACGGTTGAATTTTTTCCCCTATGTCTTAAGAGTATATAGCAGAAGTTTGAAGGAGATTGGTGAAAAGGGCGACGGAGCATCACTCTCCAAACAACGTGTGCGAAAACCACTAAATCGCGTACTTGGACCAAAATGGCCGACTTCCTGTGCGACTTTGCACTTGGCTCCAAGAGACTTTTTTGTAGGTCCTGAGACACCACATTAGTGTACCAAATTTCGCAATCCTCAGTCAAAGCTTGGCTTGGGGCTATTAGTTTAAATGGTCCTAGGGGGCGCTATTTAAGAGAATAGGCCACGCCCACAAACTTCAGCTGTCTATTTCTCTTGGGGGTCAGACTAGGATCACTCACCAGAAGTGTCGGAGCGATATCACGATAACTGAAGAAATGAGAGGCAAACGTATTTCCATGGCGTGATGGCGATTTTCGCCATGCTCCCAAAGCCCCGCCTTTTTTCAAAACCTGCCAGTACTGGAGACCAAGTAACCTCAAGTTGTCTACTGCTGTTTCCCACAGAATCCTGGTGATTGGGTAAAAGGAGTCCAGTAGGGAGCTGTGAAAAAAAGAGTGGCGTGGCGGCAGGTCAAAGTTTGAGGCTTAGCCACGCCCACACCTTTCAACTTTTGAAAAATCCGACGGTTGAATTTTTTTCCCTATGTCTTACGAGTACATAGCAGAAGTTTGAAGGAGAATGGTGAAAAGGGCGACGGAGCATCACTCTCCAAACAACGTGTGCGAAAACCACTAAATCGCGTACTTGGACCAAAATGGCCGACTTCCTGTGCGACTTTGCACTAGGCTCCAAGAGACTTTTTTGTAGGTCCTGAGACACCACATTAGTGTACCAAATTTCGTAATCCTCAGTCAAAGCATGGCTTGGGGCTGACAGTTTTAATGGTCCTAGGGGGCGCTATTTCAGAAAATAGGCCACGCCCACCGGATGTTGACATCAGATTGTTTGAGGGGCCAGACTAGGATTACTCACAAAAAGTTTCGTGACGATATCTTTAGAAATGACGAAATGGGAGGCAAACGTAAGGCCACGGCGGTACGTCTGACTTCGCCGCGCCGCCACAGCCCCGCCCTCTGCCGAAAACTCCCATAAAGTGACGCCAAGCAACCCCCACTTGTCTTGAGTTACCAGCTACAAATTTGTGGTGATTAAGTGAAATGGGGCAATTTGGGACCTTTCACAGTAAAACTTGACCTTTTTGGTCCTGAGCGGGCGGGGCTTGTGTGATGTCATCATCCAACCATTCATATTACTTTGTGGGTGGATGATGAATGACCACAGAAAGTTTGGTAACTTTATTCTATTCAGTTATGAAGTTATAGCAATTAAAAAAAAATTGGCGAGTAGTCAAACTTCAAGGCCTGGCCCCGCCCCTTCAGCATATACGAAAACTCAGAATCCTCATCTCATTTTGTTTGCCCATCCCTTCTGAGCATTTTTACACAATTTTTGAGACGATCGTGCGAAAAATGATCGAGCAATCCAATCAGAAACGGACCCTAAAAACTGCAAAAACGGCTAAAAATCGCCATTTCAACCCAAAATGGCCGACTTCCTGTTTGATATTGACCATGCTTGCAAGAGACTTTTCTGTGCGGACTGTTGAGTACTACAAGTGTACCAAATTTCATAACTGTACGATAAACTAAGCTTTATGGAGAGGGTTTTTTTTCACATTGTAGGGGGCGCTGTTCAGCCATTTTCTTTGCGATTTTTTTGGGACCTTTAAAATATCAAATTTTTCACCAGGCCTGACAAGTTTGCAAAATATTGTGAGTTTTGGGGTATGTTAAGGTCCCCAAAAAGCCATTCAAAGGGGGCACGGAATAACAAAAAAAGAAAGAATAATAATCGGAGCAAAAACAAGAGGCCTTCGCAGCGCTTTCGCTGCTCGGGCCTAATTAAAGCTGCAAGCAGCGTCGTTCGGCCCTCGCAGCTCCGCGCCGCTCCGGCCTGACCGGCAGCCCTGGGCACCAGGGCACGTCCGCAGAACACAAACGTCGACCACCCCAACACCAGAAACGGCTAACGGCCACCTTGTCCGCACCTCACCCTGACTCAGCATCCCCTTTGAGCTCACCATTATATTTTATGTCTCACCACTAGGGAATCCTCTATCTTTACCACACTGGTGGTGTGATGACAGTGACCAACTTTAATGCTATTCTGACCATGTTTTTTAAAGTTATCGAAGGATAACGTTATCTAGGTGGTGCTGTGACCAACTACAGAAAAGTCCCATTGAGGTCAGCTTTGGTGACATTATATAACATTCACCAACCGTTTGTGCCTCATTGGCTAAAGGGCATGATTGTTCATTGCCATATTCAGTTTCGGGCAAATCGGAGGCCGTTTGTGGAAGTTACAGTCAAATGTAAGGTCATGGCGTCACGCCAGCATTCACCATGGCATCAAAGCCCCTCCCTTTCTGGAAAGCTATCAGATCTGAATGGTCATTAAAACATCATGAAGACACTGTATGACCTGAGTGTCATTTTCACTAAATTAGAGGGGACAAATATGGGCATTTCACCATAAAACAATAGACTTCCCTTTGTCAGGGGGCGGGGCTTAGGTGATGTAAGCTGTCCACATTGTCGTTGTCTTGAGATGTGGTCAGTGATCACACAGACAAAGTTTGAATTAGATCTGATCATGCACATGGGAGTTATTAAGTCAAGTAATGTCATGGCGAAAGGTCAAAGTTTGAGGCTTAGCCACGCCCACACCTTTATACTTATTTAAAATCCGACGGTTGAATTTTTTCCCCTTTGACTTAAAAGTACATAGCATAAGTTTGAAGGTGATCGGTGTAAAGGGCAACGGGCCATCAATGTCCAAACAACGTGTGCGAAAACCACTAAATCGAGTACTTGGACCAAAATGGCCGACCTCCTGTGCGAAATTGCGCTTGGCTCCAAGAGACTTTTTTGTAGGTCCACAGACCCTACATGAGTGTACCAATTTTCGTAATCCTCAGTCAAACCTTGTCTTGGGGCTGACAGTTTTAATGGTCCTAGGGGGCGCCATTTCAGAATATAGGCCACGCCCACAAATCTCAGCTGCCCAATTCTATTGGGGGTCAGACTAGGATCACTCACCAGACATTTTGTGGCGATGTCACGATAATTGAAGAAATGAGAGGCAAACGTATTGCCATGGCGTGATGGCGAATTTCGCCATGCTCCCAAAGCCCCGCCTTTTTTCAAAACCTGCCAGTACTGTAGACCAAGTGACCTCAACTCTTCAGCTGCTATTTGCCAGAGATTGCTGGTGATTGGGTAAAAGGAGTCCAATAGGGAGCTGTGAAAAAAAGAGTGGCGTGGCGACAGGTCAAAGTTTGAGGCTTAGCCACGCCCACACCTTTATACTTATTTAAAATCCGACGGTTGAATTTTTTACTTTATGTCTTAAGAGTATATAGCAGAAGTTTGAAGGCGATTGGTGAAAAGGGCGATGGAGCATCACTGTCCAAACAACGTGTGCGAAAACCAGTAAATCGCGTACTTGGACCAAAATGGCCGACTTCCTGTGCAACTTTGCACTAGGCTCCAAGAGACTTTTTTGTAGGTCCTGAGACACCACATTAGTGTACCAAATTTCGTAATCCTCAGTCAAAGCATGGCTTGGGGCTGACAGTTTTAATGATCCTAGGTGGCGCTATTTCATAAAATAGGCCACGCCCACCGGATGTTCACATCACATTTTTTGGGGGGCCGGACTAGGATCACTCCCAAGAGGTTTTGTGGCGATATCTCAAGAAATGATGAAATGGGAGGCAAACGTAAGGCCACATCGGTACGCCTGACTTCGCCGCGCCGCCACAGCCCCGCCTTCTGGAGAAAACTCCCATAAAGTGACGCCAAGCAATCCCAACTTGTCTTCAGTTACCTGCTACAAATATGGGGTGATTAGTTGAAAGGGCGAATTTTGGACAATTTCCCAGTAAAACTTGACCTTTTAAGGCCTGAGGGGGCGGGGCTTATGTGACATCATCAATCAACCATTCATTTGTCTTCGGGGGGTGATGACGATTGTCCATAGAAAATTACTTTAACTGTAATTCTTTCATTTATGAAATTATAGCAATTTGAATTTTTTTGGCGAGTGCTCGAACTTTGAGGCCTGGCCCCGCCCCTTCAGCATTTACGAAAAGTCAATTTTATTTTCTCATTTGATTCGTCGAACGCTTCTGTTCGATCGCACACTATTTTTGAGACAATCGTGCGAAAAATGACCAAACTGTTCAACCAAATATAGAGCCTAGAAATGGCCAAAACGGGGTAAAAATGGCCACTTTAGTCCAAAATGGCCGACTTCCTGTTTGATATTGACCATGGGTGCAAGAGGCTTTTCTGTGCGTATTGTTGAGTTCTACAGGTGTACCAAATTTCATCACTCTACTATGAAAAAAGGTCAATGCGGAGGGGTATTTTTAATTTTCCAGGGGGCGCTGTTGCAACATTTTTATACCAACTTTCACGTTGCCAGTGAAATACGTAAATTTCACGCACTTTCTATATTGGGCCAGAATTTGGTGAGTTTTTGGATATGCTAAGACCCCCTAAAGGCTGTCCAAAGACGCGGAAGAAAAAAAAAGAAAGAAAAAATAAAAAAATAATAAACGGAGCAGATACAATAGGCCTTCGCAGCGCTTCGCTGCTCGGGCCTAAATAAACAGAGCAAAAACAAGAGGCCTTCGCAGCGCTTTCGCTGCTCGGGCCTAATAATCAGAGCAAAAACAAGAGGCCTTCGCAGCGCTTTCGCTGCTCGGGCCTAATAATGCATTACAGTTTGGAAGTAACTTGCCCAACACTGCTTAGGAAACATATAAGGAAGTCTGCACATGCACGCACTTCGAAAGAATGTTAACCTGAGGGCAGATCTTCTTAGGAAGTGTAATGCATGGGACTGCATAGAAAAGGACGGCTTTAAAAGGCAGAGGTGGAGCAAACCTCATTAAGTACAGCAGAAACTCGGCAGCGATCAGTTCCAGCGCTTCTAACAAGTGAGTTTTAATTCTTTTGTGTTGTATAATGATAATACATGTGTGTTTTTATGGGTTTTACTGGAAAAACATTTCACATTTAGGTAATGGATCTGTCTTTTTCCTTTACTTTGAAGGAATTTGTCACACTTTTATCCTGGAACCAACCATGTCTCCAAACGTAGAGCTGGAGTGCGTCGTGTGCTTCAACGAGTTCTCTCGCAGAAGCCGGGTCCCACGGGTTCTGCACTGCAACCACACCTTCTGCGCTCCTTGTTTGGAGAAAATGTCCAAGCTCCACAATGGCATCTACACTGTCTCCTGCCCTCTGTGCCGCTGGATCACCTGCATCCTGGCCACCATGAAGCTGTCTGGAGCTCTGTGGGTCAACACTGAGATCTGGGACCAACTGTCAGAAAAGCAGGATTCACTAAAAGATTTAAAAAGTACAAAGACCCAACTCATTATGCCAGCACAGTAAGTGCCTTATTTCAAACCACCTACAGAAGTATTTATACATTTCTCCTCACCTCTTGTTCTAAAAACTCCCCTCTTGTGTTTTAGCTCTGGTTTAAGGCGGACTATTCACACATCTGGTTTCAAGACAAGAGTCCAGAAACTGTTCACCTGTGTACCGCTGCATCACCTGGAGAACTCGTGACAGAGGAAATTCCTCCAACGCATATTTTAAACAGACGATGACACCCGTTTCTATCTCATGAGGCAAAGACTCAAAGCTGCTTGATGATTTTGGATCTGATTTGACTCCCTTTTTAGACGAAGGACTCTCAATTCTGCAAGCTGTGACGTGAACATTTTTGTTATGAAGTATGTTAAAGAGTTTTCTTTTAACCTCGATGAAACTTGGAAATGACAAGAAGTTTCCTCCAGATGAAACTATTTGAGTCAGATGTCCAGTTTTGAACTAAGGAGAAAAATAACTTATTTTAGAAATCCAATAAGAATATTTATGATTGTTTTTATGAAGATCTTACATTTATGTGTTTGTAATATTTTGTTTACATATGTCACTTGTTTGTTATGTTTATGATTAAAGTTGTATTTGATACCGGAAGTCCAAGCAGAATGTGGCTCAGGGGGTTGCGGATGCAAAAACCCGGGTGTGGGAGGAGTTAAGTGAGACCATGGAGCAAGACTTCTGTACGACATCAAGGAGATTCTGGTCTACCATCTGACACTTCAGGAGGGGAAAGCAGTGCGCTACAAATACTGTTCCTAGTAGGGATGGTGTGCTGCTGACCTTGAATGAGGACGTTGTGGATCGGTTGGCGGAGTATTTCGAAGACCTCTTCAGTCAGGTCTCCCAGTGAGGAAGCAGAGTCCAGGGACTTTGGGTTGGGCTCTTCAATGTCTGGGGCTGAGGTGGTCAAAAAACTTCATGGTGGCAAGGCTCTGGGGATGGATGAGATCCACTCAATTGTCCTTAAGGTTTTGGGCTATGTTGGCTGATGCGGTTCTGTATTATTGCATGGACATTTGAGGCAGTTCCACTGGACTGGCAGACTGTGATGGTGGTCCCCCTATTTAAAAAGGATGGTCGCAGAATGTGTTCCAGCTACAGGGGATCATACTCCTGAACCTCTTTGGAAAGGTCTATTCAGGGATCCTGGATAGGAGGATCCATTGGAGAGTCGATCCTGGAGGCTTCGTGGGACTTTGCTCAACCAGTCTACATGTGTTTTGTGGAATTGGAGAAGGCGTTCTACTGCGCCCCTCGGGGGACCATGTTGGGGGGTACATTGGGAGTATGGGCTACTAAGCTCTCTGATACAGGCTGTTAGGTCCCTGTATGACTGGTGTCAGAGCTTGGTCCACATTGCTGGCAGTAAGTCAGTCTTGTTCCCAGTGAGAGTTGGACTCTGCCAAGGCTGCCCTTTGTCACGATTCTGTTCATAACCTTTATGGACAGGATTTCTAGGCGCAGCCATGGTGTGGAGGGGATCTGTTTAGGTGGCCCAAGGATTGAGTCTGCTTTTTGCAAACGATGTGGTCCGATTGGCTTTATCAGAACGTGATCTCCGGCTCTCACTAGAGCGGTTTGCAGCTGAGTGTGAAGAAGCTGGGATGAGAATCAGCTCCTCTAAATCTGAGACCATGGTCTTGAGTCGGAAAAGGATAGAAAGCCTCTCTTTGGGTCAGGGATGAGGTCCTCAAGTGGAGGAGTTTAAGTATCTCCAGGTTTTGTTCACGAGTGAGGGAAAGATGAAGTGTGAGATTGATAAGCCGGTGTTTGCTGTGTCTGCAGTGTTGTACAGGTCTGTCATGGTGAAAAGAGAGCTTCTGATTCTGATTCTGAACACCTTGGGATTCCCCCTGAGGAGCTGGCCCAAGTGGCTGGGGAGAGGGAAGTCTGGGCCTCTCAGACTACTGCTCCCACGACCCGACTCTGGAAAAGCAGACAAAAACGAATGCATGGATGAATGGATATTCTGATGTCTATAATAAATACTGGTCTGTGTGTGTTCATGTTCAGTATCCCATCCCTCTGTCTTGTTTTTTTCATGTCCATGAAAGTTTTGCAGCCTTCTTTTTATTCTTCGTAAATACATTTTACAATATTGGTGTTGTCGATGTTCTTCAGGTGTTCGTTAGTGTTTCTGTTTATGGTATGGAGTGGTATTGTGTGGTTGGGACATTGGTTGACTTTAACTGATTGAAGAGCCTGTATGAACCAGGCTGGGGATCAACAGTTTTCCCCCTCCAAAATCAAAGAAACTTTGGGCACGGGCAAGTTTAGCATGGTCAGGCAGGCAGGGTTCTGGCTTTGGGTCCTTCAGGTCGTTTAGAGTTTGGGTTGAATATTTTGCGTGTTGAGAATTAGTGTTAGTCTTTTTTCTGTGCCTATATATGGAGTGGGCAGGATTGGATGAGGATATTAACATTTTAGCGTTAGCAACCAGCTCAGTGGCATAGTGGTAGAGTGTCCTCTCTGAGACTGGGAGATCAGGGTTCGATTCCTGGTCGGGTCATACCAAAGACTTTGAAAAATGGGACCCAATGCCTCCCTGCTTGACTCTCAGCATTAAGGGGTTGGATTGGGGGGTTAAACCACCAACTGGTTTCCGAGCACGACTGTCTCTGCAGCTCACCGCTCCTCCAGGGGGACGGGTCAAATGCGGAGAACAAATTTCACATACACAGCAGTGTGTGTGACAACTAATGCGACTTTAACTTTAGCAACAGGGAAAATTTTTATTGCCTCAATATGAACAAGAGTAACCGACACCCTCCTGGGGTGACAAACTGGAACTACATTCACATGATGTTAAAACATTTAGATTATTTTAGTCCAATTATGTCAATGAAGTTACCAAAAAAAATCCTTATTTTTGTTTTTATCCTCTTGGGGGAATCATAAATATCTAAAAGGGTGAGGAGGAGGAAAAGAAGGCATCAGTTACTGGAAATTATTTTTATTTTGACAGATGATGAGTCAAAAATGATCAGGTCTGGTATCAAGGACAACCATTGATTTTCATGTAGTAGTACGTCAGTGTGCATGTCAAAACCTTCACATTGGATGCTTCCTTTTCACTTGAAATTCCACAACCACAGATTACTCACTGGATCCTCCTGGGTGTCGTTTGATTTGGGAGTTTGCACAAAGCCTCTGATAGGTTAAAACCGTTTAGTTCCACTTTCATTGAAAGCAAAACAGTTTTCATGTTTCACAATCCTGTTCTACTCCTCTGGGATTTGTCTCATGTGTTCTGGAGACATTAAGAAAGCTGCATTGTGATGTACATTAACTTCCAAATTTCACAGCAGATTGTAAAATAATTTCCTGTCAGTCTCGGACTAGCTTGGTTAAAAATTGATTTCTGTAAAAATTATAGTTCTACTGAATCTGAAAGGCACACTGTGTTTGTGTTGTGATTCAGCAAATGCTCTAATTACCCTGCTTCACCTAACCTTGTGTGACGTATGCATTCATAGTCAATGCAAATAAATACCCTGCTTTGCTAAGGCGTTTAATAAAACTCTTTATGAAGTTGTTTCTTTGATAAATGGTATTTTATCAAGAAGAGGCTGTAAAGAAGGAAATATTTGAGTCTTAGGAAACATATAAGGAAGTCTGCACATGCACGCACTTCGAAAGAATGTTAACCTGAGGGCAGATCTTCTTAGGAAGTGTAATGCATGGGACTGCATTGAAAAGGACGGCTTTAAAAGGCAGAGGTGGAGCAAACCTCATTAAGTACAGCAGAAACTCGGCAGCGATCAGTTCCAGCGCTTCTAACAAGTGAGTTTTAATACTATTGTGTTGTATAATGATAATACATGTGTGTTTTTATGGGTTATACTGGAAAAACATTTCACATTTAGGTAATGGATCTGTCTTTTTCCTTTACAGTTCTCTTTGAAGGAATTTGTCACACTTTTATCCTGGAACCAACCATGTCTCCAAACGTAGAGCTGGAGTGCGTTGTGTGCTTCAACGAGTTCTCTCGCAGAAGCCGGGTCCCACGGGTTCTGCACTGCAACCACACCTTCTGCGCTCCTTGTTTGGAGAAAATGTCCAAGCTCCACAATGGCATCTACACTGTCTCCTGCCCTCTGTGCTGCTGGATCACCTGCATCCTGGCCACCATGAAGCTGTCTGGAGCTCTGTGGGTCAACACTGAGATCTGGGACCAACTGTCAGAAAAGCAGGATTCACTAAAAGATTTAAAAAGTACAAAGACCCAACTCATCATGCCAGCACAGTAAGTGTCTATTTCAAACTACCTACAGAAGTATTTATACATTTCTCCTCACCTCTTGTTCTAAAATCTCCCCTCTTGTGTTTTAGCTCTGGTTTAAGGCGGACTATTCACACATCTGGTTTCAAGACAAGAGTCCAGAAACTGTTCACATGAGTATTGTTTAACTCGGAAGATGATTCAACATTTAATTTTAATGATAATTTATTTGTAACTAATATTTTGAATATTTAAATAATTGTTTTTGTAAAGACTAACTCATGTTTGTGTTCTGCCACCTGCCATGTATGTGTGTTTATGGTGCAAACTTTGTCTTTGTGTGCACTCATTTTTTTAATATTTATTTTTTTAACTGAATTAAACAAATGCATGAACAATAATTCTGTAAAATCTAAATATTTGCATTATTTCAATGAACATTTTTCAATGGAACAAATGTGTAGTGTTTCTAAATGCAAAGAACTTCAACCCACACTTTTGTAGTGTTGAAAAATCAACACACTGAATCACAAAGTTGAAGCAAATGTTCCTTTTGCAGTTTAAAGTTAAGTAAACCAGCTAACAACCTACACAGGTCCCAAAAATATCAGACCTCGTCTCACAGGAAAACTTGTCTCAGCTCAACTGAAAAGACTGAATGTCTGATCATTGCCCCTACCCGGATTAGTCTAAAACTTGGTCACTTATCTTCTGCTGTCTAGACGAACTTAAGGAATTTGGGTGTCGTTTTTGACCAATTAATGTCCCTTGAAGGTCACTCAAAAACATTGGTCCGAAACAGTTTTTATCACTTAAGAAATATCTCCAAACTGTGAAGGTTGGTGTCAAGACATGAACTTGAAATGGTTATCCAGACCTTTATCTCCATCCGTCTAGATTACTGTGACACACTCTTCACACGTTGTAACAAAAAAGCCCTTGACCGCCTTCAGTTGGCAGTGTTGGGCAAGTTACTTCCAAACTGTAATGCATTATTTATGTTTGTTTATTCATTCGGCACACGCTTTTATCCAAAGCGACTTACAATTTATAACCTATAGGGCATGTTGTGATCTGTGGGGGAAACAGGAGTACCCGAAGGAAACCCACGCATGCATGGGGAGAACGCGCAACTCCACGCAGAAAGGCCACAGCCGAGTTTCGAACCTGCAACCTTCGTGCTGCGAGGCAACAGTGCTAACCACTGCGTCACCACGCAGCCCTCATTTAATATAAGATGGCAGCGTGCTGAGAGTACAGACTGTTGTTGTTACCCTCATTTTAAAGTAATTCATTACATTACAATATTACTGATTTTAAAATGTAAGTCATTCCACTACTTTTGCATTACTTTTGCATTACTTTCAACAAAACAACTTCAATATGAATCTGGTAATCTGACGCTCAGTGAGCTCATGACATATATGTGGAAGGTGATGTGGTGTCTGAGCTAGGATTGCTTAAAATTTTAATCTTTCATCCGTTTCTGAAATTTAATAAATATATAAATAAAATTTACTTATTCTTAGGAGCAGCTTGAGTCATCTCTTCCATTATTACATGATTGTAAAGTTTCTGGCATTTACTTTAATAAAATGAAATGTGTTTTTGCATTGATCATCTTTACTTTTGGATGATTTCATCCATTAAAAAGACGTCTACAGCGCTCCTCGACACACCAGGTGTTCCTGAGAAGTGTTTTACCCCACAAGTGTAAAGCTGAATGCACCTTAACACTCCATAGACTGCTGGCTAGGTGACACTGGTTTAACACCATACATGTTTGGCTCCTTCGGTGGGGTTTTATGAGTAAACTGAGTTTATAACTCACTGTATAAACCAACATTTAAAGACTGTAACAAACCTTTAGCATCATAAAAACAAAGCTAAGTGTTTGGTGAGGGAGTTGGGTAATCCTGGAATAGTTTATATGCTTCAGGATCCTTTTATAAATCAATGATTAAAAAAGAAAACAAACACAAAAAGACAGAATAAGCAATGGAGGCAGTGTGAGATTGTGTTTATTTAATTGGAAATGGTGACGGTGGATTATTGGAACCCTTTCCCCTGAAATCATTATACCAAGACGCCTCGTTGACTACAACTATGTTATGATGATGAACAGTTAAATATTTAGACAACCCAGAACCGATGCAATGACAGGTGGATTAAATAGAAACAAGTCAGTGCCCCATTCACAAATTTCCTGTTTTGAAAAAGAAACAGGAAACGCTGTCAAACAAGTCTGAACACAGCCGCCGCCATCTTCCTACGCTGGAGGAATCTGCAGAAAACAAAACGCCTTTCTGGCAGGGAAGAAGCGCGTGTCTGAATAAAACTCTGAATAGACCCAACAGACAAACCATCTTTCCAACAATATGCAAATACTTGTATAAATTAGTTTTTGTGCAGCACAGTGGACAGTTGTTACAGCGTCGTAGTCAACATCTCACGAGTAAAACTGGCCTTAGATCAGCGTTAGCAACAATAGGTCCAACACAAATTAGGGATCACATGTTTATATAAAGATCTGTCCGATCAATTATACGTTTGCAAACAAGGAGGCATTTAACAATTTAAAAGCTTTCACACCATTCCTCCAGATCCATACATTCAGCACTCAAGTTATGTCGTTTTTAACCTATTGCATACGAACATGATTAATCCTGCCTAAACACTGCTGACTACATGAACACATGACCACAGTGAGTATTTAAAACAACATCCATCACAGCTTTCAACACTTCCTCTCTTACTATTTCACATGGACATAATTTAAACAGTAAAACGACATGAGGAAACAAACGGGGGCGTGGGCTGGATGTTCACTAAACGCAAAGGGCCTCAGTAGATTAGTGCGGAAACTTTGACGAGAGGCTCGTGACAAACTAAAGGACTGGGAGCTCCGCTGTTGTTGTTAAAAGTTCATCCGAAGCGTGGTCGCTGCTTGTGACAGGAGGACTCTCTCTTCACACAAACATCAACACGGTTAACACAATGTCTTAACTGGATAGAATACAACTGGGATAAAATATATTTAAGGGAAAATATTGAGATGCGTTAAAATAATACCAAAAATCATTTCAAATACACTAAAAATGTTAAAAAGAGGATAGGAACGAGTCGAAATGGGATGAAACGCTTTTTATAGTTAAAGTAGCAGATGTGTAGGTGATCAAGAGAAATTGTAATTGTCCCTTTGTGATGTGTGTGTGTGTGTGTGTGTGTGTGTGTGTGGGTGTGGGGGGTTGCATTAGATTCCCTATATGTAGGGGTACTGTGTGAGGCGCCTAGGGCTCAGCTGGTAGGCACTGTAGGCCTCGGATCGGGGTGTCACGCTAACATACGGAGAACCAGCAGCAAACTGATGCTGGTACGCTGCAGGGAGGCCATGCAGCAGGCTGCTGACCGACTCTTTATGACTGGCCGAGTCTCTCCTGGAGGACGAGGTGGATGAGGTGTACGTTGCTGCATAGGTGGAGGGGGAGTGTCCGTGGCTGACATGACCACGAGCCAGCAGCTGCTCCATGGCCTGAGAAGCTGAGGAGAGGGCTGTGGAGGCTGGGTAGGTGTACAGGCTGGTGGCCGCGGTGGAGCCCGACGCCAGGGCTGCCACATCGGGGAAGCTGTAGTGAGAGGCAGCGACCGCTGGAGGGAAGGTCTGCTGGCGGTGTAGAGACGAGTCACTGTGGGACACCCCGGAACGCTCCTGGGAAGAAGAAACCACCGACTGCACCTGCATGCAACAGGTGTGTAATTATTCTCCACACATGTAGCTCACCCATACAGGTAACATGGCTGTTGACACAGCAAACCTACATTCAAACTAACAGATTTGTTTAAGCTTTTCTTGACTAATTTGTAGTTTGATGTGGCAGAAACATCTCCAAGTGTTATGATGTGTTTGTGCACTAGATAGAACACACACAAACAGTTTCCTGAAATTGTGTTCTTAGCTCTCTCCGTCCAGCAGAGGGAATTTGATAGCTGAATCTTTAATGGGGTGTTTACATAAATCATATTTACACAAGTCACCTGATACAGCTGCATCCTTTAAATCCTTAGGGCTCCTTGTGATATTTCATGATGCCGACGTCTAATCGGTTAGCTTCCAATCCGATGCTTCTCTTTAGTTGAAAGTAATGTGTTTTCTTTCACCACACAGTGATTGGCGTGTTTATTAAAATAATTGCTGAGCTTAATTTCAAACTAATTTGCTCAAGCCTTGTCAGGCAAAAGATTCTCATCAGTTAACGTTTCAAAGGTGGCAGTTAAAAATATTGACAAATAAAGCCTCACCTGGCTGAGGTTCAAAGGGTGCGACTGGCTCGGTCCCAGCCCATTCCGATCCAGGCTCTCCCCTGAACTGCAGGGCTGTCGGTTGGAGGATCTCTTATGTTTTATGTAGTTCACTGCAGGTGGATGACAGTAAACATTATATTGTGCTTTCAAGCTCATTAAAAATAATCCAGAAGTACTGATGTGGAACTCTCACCAGTCTCCACACGACCACGGGTCACGGCCGCCCTCTCAGGTGGCTGGTGTTTAACCGAAGGGGCAACCACTGCCAGAGACTTGGCCTGCCGTGACGCCAAGGAGCTCGCCGTGTTCATAGTGCGAAGCAGGGGGGTCAGGGGGCTGGTTGTGGATGAGTCTGAATCGTGCACGGTTACACAGCTGATGACATTAGTGCGCTCAGAGCGGCCCAGTCCAACACTGCTGACAAACAAAGTGTTACTTCGAAAGTCACGAAGGAAAGGGAGACGACATGTTTCTCGCCTTCACCTGGCAGGGTGGAACTTGCGTTCGTCCTCCGTGTCCGTGTCGCTGTGGATGGTGATAATGCTGACCGCTGGGCTGGGCGTGTCAGAGATGACGATTGGCTGAGACAATGTGACAGTGGAGGAGGGAGGGATCACACCAATGGTGCCTAGCAAGGCTGCTCCCCTACAAAAGGAAAAGACCAAATCAGATTCGGTCCATAATTTAATACAGGGGTGTCAAACTCACACGGGGCCGAAATGAAACTCTGGGACGGAGTCGAGGGCCAAACTTAATATTTTTTGAAAAAGTGACGGCAAATTTGCACATTTTCTTTATCAACATATATGCAATTTTGAACCTTTAAATTTGGAAACAAACTTATTTCTGCATTAACACTGAATGTGGAATAACCAAATGACACACGAGCAAGTCAGTTTTAAATAAAAGGCATCAGTGGTATTCATTACTTGTGGTATAATCAGCATTTTTAAAATCTATTCAGGATTTATGTTTTCTTGTTTATTCATTTTTCTTATTTTTTTACTCTCCTTTTTTTCTCCTGTAATACGTGTCATCGCTGCTGTGACGTCTAGCTTTCCCCACTGAGGAACAATAAAGGGATTTTCTATTCTATTCATCTGCAGCCTTTCCACTTCCTGTTTACTGTAGGTTAAATCTTTTATCACGGGCCAACAACAAAATAAAGATATAATTTTATCTTAAATGAAAATGCAACATCTCACCTGTTAACTTTCATGTTTTGGAGCAGAAAAAGAGCATAAAACCAACATATTTAAAGCTCAGTTTGCTCCACTGGTTTACTGTGATGCTCACCTGTTCCAGCCAGATACCTGCATCATGGGGTTGAGCTGAGCTGAGGAGGAGACTCCTGTTGTTTTGTTCATCTTCATCATAATAATGACAACATTAGATGACAACAGGTGCTCACATAGGTTTGTGCTGATGAACATGTCTGAGCAACTTTACCACGTTGTTGTGTGTCGGGGAGGAAACACAACGACAGCAACCACAGAGTTGTGCTGGTTTGAGCGTGTCGCTGCTCGCTGGAGTTATATCAGCTCTGTCTGGACGTTAGTTGGAAAACGTTCTCTTTCAGTCATGAACACATTACTGAGCGGCTAGAATCTCCGTTTCTGGGCTTCAACGTCAGAAAATAGCTGAGTGAACTCGGCGCTGAGTGAGAGGAGTGTTTAGTTTGTCCGAGACAGCGGAGCTGCAGACACCGGCAGCTGACGCTGGAAAAAACACAAAGGAGGGGGCGCGTCGGCTCCGCGCTAACGCCACAAAGCATCATGTTGAAGTCTTTGAGGTAAAATCGGCCAGCGGGCCAGTTTTAATATATTTTTGATAATTATCTCGCGGGCCACATAAAAATGCTCCGCGGGCCAGGCCTTGACTCTGACACATGTGATTTAATACAACCTTTATCATTCTTTTAGAAATTCTTCCTTATAGTAAATGGAAGTTTTCAGCATTTAAGTTAAACATTATTGTTAATTAATACTGTCTAGTTCTTCTGTTGCATTTTGGGCCAGCAGCTGTCTGGTGTAACAGGATTAACTGATGAGCTTCATTATGGAAGGTATATTTTATTTTACATAGTTATACTTTCTTCTGAGGCCTGAAATAAATTATTTAGCCCATCTGATTTTATTTTATTTTTTTTAAATTGGCATTTTATTTTATCGTACTTATCCAAGTGTTTTATTGTGCTCATGATTTTTAGCTTGAAAGGTGCTAAAAAAACTGTAGCAAGCATTCTTTATTTTTACAAAAACACTTTAAACTCTAATCCAATGAGTTAGTTATCTTGCTGCATGCTTGAACTGGTAAAAGCCTCTGAATGACCAACAGAGTTTTACATACAAGCTTTAGTAAGCCGCAGACTTGGCACAAAGACCACAGAAGGTCGGTAAAGAGCAAAAGCCAATATCAGTGGTTTAGGCAGCTAATTTAGTTAAAGGTTTTTAAGAAAGCAGGAACAGTTGATGTTAAGCCTCGTTAACGAAGAGGAAACGCTTTAAGGCGCACAAACCTGTTTCGGTTCTCTCCACATCTGGCTTTAGCTTTCTTTCTCTCTTGCTGCGTCCTGGTTTGGGTCAAGTTCCTGTCGGGGCCAAAGAGTTTGATACATTAGCGCTCTGTACAAAATAGCAACAAAGAAGAGAACAATTATGAAGAATCTAAGGGAGTGCATGAATCCCACCAAAGTTTTTTGTTTTGTTCTTTCTGCTTTAATTTTTTACAGATCAGTTTCTTTCATCACAATTTCATTCAGCTCTGGTCTACAGGCAGTCTTTGAAAAAGATCCAGAATCTATTTGCAGATGCTCAGGGTGGTTGATGAAACAAAAATGACATCTGAGAGACATTGTGAGAAACAAAATGAGCTTTATAGCTCTCATTAACACATTAATACTTTTGTATAGTATAAACTGATGCCTTGTAAATCATTATCTGTGGTGAAAAACCTCTGGTGCTCCTGTTTCAGGATGTAGAAGTTAGCCGCAGATGTACGGACATCTCGCATCTAATTGGCCAACAGCAACATGACTACCACTGCCTGTGACAGACAGAGAGACACACACACAGTTCTGTGTTCTGCCATGTTGTGGAGTTGCTAATGCTAATGGTTAGCGTCTATTAGCAAAGACGTTCTCTGTTCTTTCCTAGAAGCTAAAATAAACAACAACTTTCCCTGTTGGGAGCCAAGATGGGCGAGTCCACGAATGCCGATTTAAAGAAATCGACATGGGTCCGTGTGTTTTTTTCCTGATCAGAGCGTTGTCCCATCTATTTTCCATTAACGGCTAATGCAGGATAGGTGTAGAAGACTTCTTTCATGTTTAGCCTGCCTGATTGTCTTAAAAAAAAATGTAAAAGATGGTTTCTCAGTGGTCTTTGTCATTCAAACATACTAAAATGATTGACTCGATGTCAAATTTTCTTTTTGTCAAATGAAGAATTTATAAAAAAGGATCAATTACAGGACCTGTGTGAGAGAGCGAGAGAGAGAGCAACAGAGCGAGCGTGCGTGCGCACTCCTCAATTTGTCCTGACTGCAATGGTCAAATAACCCACCGCAAACTGTGTCCTTGCTGCATGGCTGCGTTCGAGTGAACCTCTTCCAGGGGGGATCCGGTGACGTTTGACTGATGGGCTGAGCTGTGGATGGCCACACCTGGGACCTGCTGCCATGACGACGGTATGAGGATTTGTTGGGCACCAGTTGGCCAGGCCTGCTGAGAAAAACAGGACACAGACACACCTGAGTAGACGTAACAAACACAGAGCCATTTATGAATTAAAGGAGATATATTTTAAAAGTCTGAATGCAGATGTGGGTCAGACTCATTTAGACATGCTGAGAAATAAATCCAGACTCGATACAAAGAGGTAAGCCAGTCGCCAGTTTCCTACACAGGCAAAAGCACAAAGCTAGAAAAGCGAGCAACGTTCCCCAAGCCATTCCTCAATCACAGCATCGGTCTGCAACAAATCCACGAGATGAAACCATGCAAAGCACAAACAACAAAGCTCTGTAAACGGTCAGATCAGAAAAACAGATGAGTGAGACACAGACCCATGGCGCCTGCTAAAGAAGATACATGGATTAGTTTAGTTCCCTGATGCCAAATAATCTGCTGGAAAAAAGGCATGCCACATGTTCTGGGGCTGAAACAGAAGATGTGTGTCAGAGTCGGGCAGGAGGTCGAGGAGAGCTTTCAATGGACTGTAGCTGCTACCTCCATGGCTGACATCAAGGGAGGACAGCACAAACAGAAGCTGCAAGCAAAGCGCAGACCAACGCAGCAACATGCGCTCCATGCCCTGAGCACATCTATGAGGGGGGGAACTGGGGAATGAAAATGAGCGAATGATGTGGTGGTGGGGGGGTCCTTTGGAACAGGAAGAGAGTGTAAAATTTAGTAGATGGAGCTTTAATGTCACACTTTGGATGTATAAAGATAAATATAAAGGTTAAACGAGATGCCAGATCATTTATTTACATGGACCAACCATGACTCTGACAACTGTGACAAGTCCACAGGAGAAGGGGTGAGACTTTGATGTGTGAAAGACAGACTAGCCCCATACAACGTGTGGCATAGAAGGAACAGGAAACTTGCAAATGGAGACAGAGGACGAGAGAGGGAAGGAGAGAGATGGCGTCATTAGTGGTAGAAGGGACTGCGTGTCTTCCTTCACGACAAGTCATCATTGCTTTACCAGCACTGTGGCTGTGTGCTCCAGGAGGGTGGGCCGACCCACCCCAGCTCCCAGCCCGAGGGGCAGAGAATACTGGGGGGCTATGCCTGCTGGGGGTGGGTGCAAGGTGGCCACCATCAGGGGCGTGCAGGAACCCTGAAGGAGGGGGGGAGGATAATTGATGGCAGCGTTAGGTTATGTTTAAAAGCTGCGTCTTTCATAGCAGCGGTCATTTGAGGGACAGAACAAACAAGCAGCTGTATGACAGATGGACAACGCGGGTCAGCCAGACACCTGACCGCCAGACATTTTTCATCACGTTTGAAAAATCCATTTAACTGAAAGCAAAAAGCCACAACAAACAGAAAGGAAACCGCTTAATGAAACTCAAATGTTTTGCCTGCATTTATAAGTTCACTGGATGCGATAAAACATCCTTCACATTTACCTCTATCAGCTGTTATTTGTTCTCGCAAACATTCGCTAAACTGTTGGAAAGTCTTTTGCAACAAATAGGCACATTTACTGCCATTATTACAATAATGCACTGCCATAACGTCCACCTGTTTGGCAGCTGGACGGGTAGCACAAGTCCTTCCTGCAAGGCTTCCCTGAATTCAAGTGGCAGAAAGGGTCTGAGAAGGTGCCAAATTTAGCTTTAAAGTCTATTGATCTGATGTTTCTGCGCATTTAGAGTGAAGGAACCAACACGGTGAATAAGCACATGCAAAAAAAAGAAGAGGACTTTGGAATAAAAACAAGCTACACTCAGCTCTGCAATAATAAACAAAAATTTGTGTGTTAGCAATTTTGACCAGCTCACGAGAGCAACACTGTTAGACCTAAATTAAAGTTTGAATCAAAACAAGTCTGCTAAATCCTCAAGTAAAGCCAGTGTCTGGAAGACAGGTTTTTAATAATGAACACCAAAAGGAGAAAAAAATGTCAGTTTCACATCTGGGCCAGCACGGAGCGGGCTGGGTGGCATGGGTCTGGGTCCAGCACCAGTAGGGTTTGTTCACACATACTTCACAGGAACGGGTAAATCTCTGAGCATGTGGGCAGGGCAAAACACACGGAAAACTCAGTGGTGTCTCCCTTAAATAAAGGCAGCTGTGAGCGTGAGCGTGTGTGTGTATGCGTGTTCCTCACAGCAGAGAAAGACAAAGCTGCCGCAGATTCAGGCAGGGGGGACGCTTACTTCTCAGTATCCAGAGTGTTAATGAATCTCGCATGCGTGAGGCTCCCCACTGTTTCATTCCATCTGCCAATCGGAGGCTCCCCCCAGTGGAAGGCATAAATTTGAGGCAGCCAATCAGCAGGCAGTGGGTGTGTAGGACCAGTTCAACCCGATGAAGAGCGCCTTGGTATGAGGCAAAAAACCTACGGCTGAGCATGGGAAAATGCATGGCCACCTAGATGTGAACAGTTCAAAAGCTACGCAGTCTGGTCTGTGCTGGCCCAGATGTGAAACTGCCACATGAGAAAGAGTTGGAGTGTGCTCCCAAACGTCTAATAAGGGATTCCACTAATGAGCTACTGCAAACTCCGCACAGACACACCTAACAGGCGCTTACCTGAGTGAGCATACTTGGCTGGATCTGCAGCGACTGACCAGACTGGTTCTGAGGTACTATGGGTACAGAGTTCTCCACCCTCACTGGGAAACCGGAATTCTTGCTGGATGGTTGAAGCCCTGGAGAGAGAAAACAAACAAATGAGTGTTAAGTTTTATGGTAAAACTTTAATGTTAACTGCTTTAAAAGTTATGCCATCACAGATGAACCCTGCTTCCTAGGTCTCAGACCAAAGGCTTCCAATAAGATGAGTTTAAATCTAAAACAGTTGTCTGAATCCAAGCTTCCCTTTACCTTGGATAGTGGAGGGAGGACACACGATGAGGGTCTGCTGAAAGGGTTCTGTCTGGCTACAGAGCCCAGCAGGGCGCGTTGGAATCGGGACGCTCTGCTGAGCCAGCCCAGGAATGTTGATGGTGGCCTGCTGGTAGAGAGCTGGCTGGTAGTTCAACAAAGGCACCGCACCCCCCGCAGAAGGCGCCTGTTTAGACAACAGAACTGATTAAGAGTGGCCATATTACAGGTCCAAATACATATAAGGAACAAAGAAATAAATCTGCAAGCTCGTGAGTCTGTCCTTTACTTTTGTTTATACTTCAACACGCTGCTCAGGCCCAGGGGAACTGTGGTAAAGGTGTTTTTATTCACATTTTTATGTACAAGTTATTTGTTGTTAGGCTTTGCTCTGCTCCTTCAGGAATGATGAGCTAACAGCTAGGCTGAAAATCCTAAACCAGCTCCACTCTGAAAAACGTAGTGATTTATATTAATCTTTGCATGAGTAAAAACCACCAACAACAGCTAAATGTAATGCCTCAAGTGCGTCAGGAGTTTGGCAGGAATTTCTCAATACTTTCCCCAAAATACCTGATGCAACTTTGCTTGTAGCCTTCAAGGTTTGTAAAGTAAATATTTCTATTAGGGAAGCACTGATCAGGTTTGTTGCTGCTGATCACCAATACCGATCACAAGCATTGGCCATACAGCTTCTATTTAGTTATAATGTACTTGTATGTAGTAGCTGCTTCTCTAATTATCGATTCCCTATACCATCATCATCACTTCACTGTGTTTATTAATTCTAATCTTTTGCTGATCATTTGTTTGTTCTTGCATCAAGTACCGCGACAATTTCCTAATGTTGTGATTCTCGCACATATGGCACCAAAAGTCGTTTTAAAGTTGTAATAAATCTGCTGTTGACCCATCTTAACGAGCTTCCCCTGTACATTTACATTACTCTAACAAGTGGAGTTAAAGTTCGGCAGACACGTTTGTTTATATTGTTGCCGCTGCGTGCAAGAGAAGGAAAGGGAGGGAAATCAGAGCTTTAGCTGGATGATGCTGAGGGACATGCGATGCCGCACACAGGGCCTCAGCCTGCTACAAAGTAAGTATGAGCGACAGGTGATCGGCTGGTATGATGGTGTTGATCGATATTTGAAGAGGACTTTTTTTTCTTTCACGCAGATCTTGGTCGATTGATCAGAACATTCTTAATTTTCCATCAACTGCCACAGAATTTAGAGGAGTTGTTTCAGAAATAGATGAAAATCTGCTTCGGGGTTGGGTCACCTGGGCACTAAATGTTGGGATTTGAGATCAAGGTTTACGAATTGTGAGTAAAATTGCATTTCTTCAATAACCTGTTCTGAACTTAAGTGCACCCTTCATTGTGGAACCAAAGATCACACCTGGTTATGCTGGTTAAGTTGGCTACTGAAGGTAACTGTGAGGTTCCCAGTTGCAGCACTGGGGACAGCGTTGTTGGAGTACAGGGATTTGCTGTTGTCATACGAGCTTCTGCGCTTGCAAATTTCCATGTTCTGGAAGCACGATTTCACGCTGCAAAAGATCAAATTACATTTTAGCAGTTACATTAAAAACAAATGCATTCCCAAAACGGGTTTGTCCTGCTGTAAACTTACTGGGAACTGTGGGGATAATCCATTAGGTGGCTCATAGTGACAAAGGGGTGACCCAGAGTTTTAGTAGGTGTGATTCTTTTGTCAGCATCGAGACGAAGCATTCGCTTTAGGAGGTCTATAAACTCTCGTCTGTCAGCCTTCTCAGCCAGCATGTCTGTTCCCTCCAAGTGAGAAGACATATTGACCTGAAATACACAAAATAACAAAACTGTCACATGAAAGAAAATGGGTGGGGTGATCACTGGATACTTAACATACTCCAGTTTGGTTATCTACCTGCATCATATCATCCAGACAGTTGAAGATGTACTTTCGGGCCTCCTTCGATTTGATGCCCATCTCAATTTCATGCTCTGATGGGGTCTGATAAAAGGATAAGATATCTGGTTATCTTTAATTGCTAAATGATTTTTCCCTTTAATATTCCCTCGTGTGTCATTTACCTTGAGCCTCCAGAGGGGGTAACTAGAGTCGGGGCCTCGATGGAAGAAGCGGCTGGTTTTAGTGCCGGCACTCAGCAGGTACTCAGCCGGCAAACCTTGGGTCTGAGAAATGTAACGGATCTGGACACAGGCAGCATTTATTTTTGAGAAAACTGGTTGCTTCTTTGACCAACGCTGGTAATTGCTCTAAATCTCATTGTGTTTATCTCTTCCAGCCTAGCATTAAGTTATTTAAGCACCAAAGAGCTTGGAAACATAATCTTCAGCACTGACCTGGTCATACTCTGAAGCTCCAGGGTAGAGAGGCCAACCCAGAAACAGCTCAGCAATCACACAGCCTAAGGACCACATGTCGATGGCCTCGCAGAATGGGAGGCCCAAAATGATCTCCGGAGCTCTGCACAGCAAAGTGCAACAGATTTTTTTTAACAGAACTAGAATGATTACAACTAACAGAAATACTTCATAAAACTACAAATGCATTAATAACCACACAGAGACCCATTTCAAGCCACCTACCTGTAGTAGCGGGACTGCAGATAGGTTGAACAAACTGCTTTGGACACGTGGCTTGCCGAGCCAAAGTCAATAACCTTCACCCTGTAAGGCTGTCTGATGGGGTCTACCAACATGATGTTTTCAGGTTTCAGATCTGCGTGAATCAGTCCCAGGCTCTTCAGTTTCATCAAGGCTGTGGCCACCTACAGATGCAAACACAAATGAGTCTGGCAGAAATACCACAGCTAAAAACAAGAGTGAGCTCATGCCTCGCTCCAACCTGCTGCAGGATGGGTCGGATGTGCCGTAGGGGGAGCGGGCTGAACTTGCTGTGCTTCAGAAAGTCGTACAGATTCTGCTCCAGCATTTCAAACACTAAGCAGGTATGGCCCTTGTGTTGGAAGCATTCATATGAGCGCACAAAATTGTACTCGTCTGCATTCTCTGCACTCAGTCGGTTCAGGATGCCCACCTGTCGAAAAAAAAAGAAAGCTTCAATGAAAATTTCTTATGCTGATTAAATCTGTTTTCTATCAGAAAACTACAAAACTAATTCAACAGCAAATAACGGGACTTTTTAAAAACGTGCTAAAAATTGTAGTAAAGTGAAAAATAAATGAATGTCCTAACCAGCCAGAAAGAAGCATCTGCAAGAAAAATGGAATTTGCATAAGCCACATAACGCTCTAAGACTGATGGCAGATAATTTCCACTTATAAAGTCAATGAACTGGCTGTATGAAGTAAAACCGAAAATACTTGTAGTCAACTAGAAATCCTTGGGTAAATCTCAACAGTCTGATGACAACACATGCTCTTGTGACCCAGTTTGGAGCTAAATTTTAAATGGAACTTATTCTCTGACAGCATTTTAAAGAGGTAAACATCAGAAAAAAAAAAATATATATATCTAATTTTTTAATTTGCCGTTTACCTCAATTTGGCCTTGACGAGCATACGAAGGATGATTTTTCAAGATTTTGATTGCCACAATCTCATTGGTACCCCTTTTCCAACACTTGGCCACTTGTCCAAATGTGCCCCTTCCCAGGAACTCCAGGACTTCATAGCTGGAGGACATGGAGCAGAGGATCTCATGCTGCACAAGCTGATAATCCCCCTCACCAACGGAGCTGCTGCTCTTTGTGGTTGGTGCAGAGTGAGGTATTGACTGACCCGTGCCCCCTCCTCCACCACCCGTACGAGTGGAGTAAGTCGCTGCAGGAGCTGAGAGCTCCTCCAGTATCTGGACACTGCCACAACCACTCCCACTGCCTTCACTGGCTTCCTCTATCTTCCTCTTGTGCCCATGTCTTTGGGCCCTTGTCTCAGAGGACGTGTCATGATTGTGAGACGTGGCGGCCTGCTCGGCGACACGTCGATTAGATCCACGAGGAAGACTACCCGTGCTATCAGCTGCACGCACCACCACTTGACCCCTGGTGCCAGATGCTGCAGGGGGGAAAACAAGAGATGGTGCAAAGGGAGGCACAGCCATGGCGGGGGTAAATGCGTATGCTGACTGGCCAGCTATGGAACCGTACGCATCTGTGGTGGATACATCCCAAACGTTGCTCTCCACCTTGAACTTCTTAACGCGACAAAAGGCACTGGAGGAGACGGAGGGGGGAGAGAAGACTTGTAGCTGTGAACTCATTGCTGCAAAAATAAATAAATATTACATTAAACAAAACTAGAGACAACCCATAAGATATAAACAACTCAAGTAGAGAACCTAACAAATTACATAAAAAATTCAAAGAGAAATATTTTTAGTAATAACTGGAGTACTTGTTTAAAGAGCAAGTCACCCCCTACGTGAGTATTACTCCACTCCCAGTTTGAAAAATGTAACAAATGCTGTTGCCTGTTGCCTAGCAGACCGAGGGCAGAGCCGCTAACACACACACACACACACACACACACTAGGGCTGCAACAACGAATCGATAAATTCGATGAAAATCGATTACTAAAAGCGTTGGCAACGAATTGCGTCATCGATTCGTTGTGTCGCACAACTCTTCCAAAAGCGCCCCCCCCCCCTTCCCGAATCCCGTCCGCCGTTGCGCGCAGACCAGAGCAAGTCAGATCAGCACGAGGGAGAGCCGCAGATCAGCGCGAGGGAGAGCCGCAGATCAGCGCGAGGGAGAGCCGCAGATCAGCGCGAGGGAGAGCCGCAGATCAGTGCGAGGGAGAGCCGCAGATCAGCGCGAGGGAGAGCCGCAGATCAGCGCGAGGGAGAGCCGCAGATCAGCGCGAGGGAGAGCCGCAGATCAGCGCGAGGGAGAGCCGCAGATCAGCGCGAGGGAGAGCCGGCAGATCAGCGCGAGGGAGAGCCGCAGATCAGCGCAAGGGAGAGCCGCAGATCAGCGTGAGGGAGAGCCGGTAGCGGCAGATCAGCGCGAGGGAGAGCCGGCAGACTTGCGCTGCTGCGAACCGGTTCCGCATTGTTGCACAGCGATCCAGGCAACTGCTTCCAGCGCACGGTCCATTCTCAAAGTGGCGCAACCAAAAAACTATAATTAGCACACGATCGTTCTTGTCTGCACATGTTCTCTATTTTCTGTCTTATTTGTGCCTGAAGCTCGCTACTGCGGAGCTCATCACCTGTGCTGTGGTGATGTCACCTCACGCAGCATCGAAAACGCGCTCTGCGCTTTTCGGTCAGGAGATCTCTTTGATCTGCTCAAAAGTAACTGATGAGGTGAAAAGGTAAGAATCCAGGCAACAGATTTTCTGGAGAATTAAGAGGAGATGCAGGAAGATGAGAGACAGACAGGACAGGAAAATAGTTCAATAAAAACAAAAAATCAATCAATCAATCAATCAATCAATCAAAGCTTTATTTATAAAGCGCCTTCCGCAACCCTGTCAGGAAGCCCAAAGCGCTGAAAGTGAAACAAAGCGCTGAAAACAAAGTGTTGAAAAGTAAAATGTAGGTAGATTTATCACCACTACACGTTTTTACCTATAAAAAACAATAAGTTATACACATGTCATATTTATACATCTGATACAATTCAGATCACCTTCAAAACTCAGTCACACACCCAGGGCCGTTTCAAGACATTTTGGGGGCCAAGGCAAAATGCCCCCCCCCCCCCATAACTGGGCTCCCCAGAAGCCTCTGTGTAATTCATGCCCTCTCCAGTAGTGTTAGTTATATGGTGTTTATAAAAGCCCCTCAGACATTACTGACATGTTCTAATATTATCAGATGAAAAACTAAATTATCAGACATGCTGTCTCATCTGCTTCTTTTATAAACTTGCAAAAAGTAACAAAACCATTTGAAAGCCACTATTTGTGGATTCTCTGAAAGTTTCCATGGAGTGTGTGACTAGTTATTTTTTCATTGATCCTATCGTCTAATCTCACAGCTGAAACAAGCATCCTTAATAATCTGCACAGGAAGCGTACCGATGCTGTAGTAAAACAAAAGGTATAATAATTTATTATTAATAAAACCTTGTTGCAGAACTAAAGCAGAAAAATTTGATTTTGCATTAAATATGCTAAATATTTATATATGAATTGTTTTAGAGCCCTTTAATTGGCAGAATCTGATATTAATTTAGTTCTTACAAAAAATGGGTCCCAACATGGTTTGTGTGGTGTTGCCATAGTGTGACGTCATAGGCACAGATCCCCTGTCCTCTTGTTTGGAAATGGAAATATGGTCACCCTACATTAAACAAACTGTCCACCCGGGCTTTTGCACTGCACAGAGAAGCTTCGCTGCCTACGACTGAACGTCAGTTGAGAGTCAGTCTCATGCAGAATGACCAATGAAGAGAGGGCCTCAAGTTAAGACCCTCTCCTCATTGGTCAGTCCACACGAGGTGGGTCAAAGGTTACTCTGGGCGGGTTACGTGTTGTCAGGCATTCAAGTATTGAGTATATTTACTGCATATTACAGTAAAATATTCTGTATGTGACCACATTATGGTGATCCTCGGGTCGTGATGATGGAGCCCTTGAATATTGTTGCCCAGGGTACAACAAAGTGTTAATCTGGCCCTGGTTCCGCCGTCACATTCCAGCAGAAACTGGTTGATCACACCGGGGCCAGACTACTAGCATGTGGTTTTACAACCACAATGTCCTCAGAAGCAAAAACGCTTTTAAAAGGGAGGGAGGAGTCCTAACTGTTGCTGCAGGCGTGTTGTGTGAGAGTGCAGTTATATACTGGTTAATATATTTTTGGGTTCAGTTGCTTTCATGTGGCCTAATGTGAGTCTATTTGGGATCATTGGAATGATCAGCAGCATTTCTTGATGTGACTTTATGGCAGTTGCCCAGGGCATCATCGCAAGGAGGATGGCATTCATTTACTTTTGTTTTATTTGGTATTTTTTCAGTCATTTTTGGAAATAGTGATCAATTTTGATTAATTCACAGCCTATGTTTAATTACATTTAAAATATATGTCAACAGATGAGATCAAACAAAACAGATGAGAATTGCCCTTAAGCTGTTTAACTTGGACCAAGCATTTTAGGTCACAGATAGATGTAGCTTAGGGTCTCTGTCTATACACCTTATAAGACAATTTAGGTGATGGCATGTTGTTTTTCTGCTATTGAACTGTTTTCTAATAATGTTGTGTTAAATAAAGTGAAGGAAGGAGAGAAATAACGTTTCCCTAGCAGTTTTTAAAAATTTCCCCATGTAATCCGATTAATCGATTAATCGTGTCGAGACCCCATCCGATTAATCGATTATCCAAATAATCGTTTGTTGCAGCCCTAACACACACACACACACACACACACACACACACACACACACACACACACACACACACACACACACACACACACACACTACGGATGCAAATATACCGATACTGGTATCGGTGCAGATACCGATATGATACTGGTAACGGTAAAAGTTGACCGATACCAATGCAGTTGCTTGAAAATGGCTTCACTGTAACTTGTCATTTCTGTTCACCTAATATTTTAGTTTTATGATGATTTCTATCCATATATTTTACTTTTTATCTACCTCACAGTCTTTTCCTGTTGAAAGCAGAGAAGAAAATAAAATCTGTATTCCAAATCATTGCATGTTTTGTGTGGTAGAAGTGTAGGTATCATAATCGGTATCGGCGAATATTCAGATCCAAGTATCGGTATCGTATCGGTTTGGAAATAAGTGGTATCGTTGCATCCCTAACACACACACACACACTGTGACATCATATGGTACCAGCTAAGGTTCTAGTGTACCTCTTAGCCAATAGCGATGGCAGATTTTTAATTCAAATCAGGGTTTTTCCTGGCTCAAATGGAGGTTCAGGTGGTACCATCCTGACCATGCGCCAGCACATGCGTACTCTGTGCATTCAACTGCCTCACTTTTTTAAAGGCAAATTATTTTTTCATTAAGTGTTCTAATCTAAGCTTCTGTTGATTAATTGAATATTCCATTTGACAAAGTTTCAAGTAGGGTTGCACGATATTAGGAAAACCTGCGATATTCGATAACAGTGCTTAATATTGCGATATCGATATTACTTGCGATAAATGAACAAATACTAAAGTATGCAGTGTTGATGTTGTCTGGCGTGTGACGTCTGCTCTGGGTTCAAAGCAAACAAAAACTAATGCATGAATTCCATTACAAGTAGGGCTGCACAATATATCGTAAATGTATCGTTATCGCGATATCAGCATGCGCAATATGCATATCGCAAAGAACAGATAAATATCGCAATGAATGGTCAGCTCAAATGTTTGCTACACATAATGCATTCTGTCAATCAAACGGAAGCATGATGTTTTATAACAAATCAAATAGAGCTCTTCACCCATTTGGCCAGTTGGAAGGGTTATCATAGGTTAGAGTCCTGCACCAGAGGTGGACAGCACTTAATTGTGATGGTTAGCAAACACCTGAGTTAGCTTAGTTCTGCTCTTTCACCCGATTCTGCTTTCCCCGGGATCCACTGATTGCCTTTTCTTGTTTCTTTCCTCACATCATTTGCTTGTCTCATTTTTATGATTTTTTTTATTTCCTTGTTTCTGATTATTTTTGTTCCTGAGTTAAGTTTTTATTTATCGCAAGTAATATTGTCATTGCAATTAATCGTTATCGAATATCGCAGGTTTTCCTGATATCGTGCAGCCCTAATTACAACATAACATTTTTATTGAAAAAACATGCAGCTGCACCTGCTACTGTATTAGCAGCAAAACAACAAACTGCATGCATGCAGTTTCTCAGTGACTTTAAAACAATCACCACCACCATAAAACTTTTTCTGATGCTCCAAATACAGAAAAACATCCCTTACCAGGGTTTTTTGAATAAATAAAAATATCTGAAAGTAAGTTTAAATGTTAAATAATAGTTAACATCACTTAAATGCAACAGCAAATTCTCTCATTGCTACTGAACATTTTCTCCACTTATGTGGTTATGATATAAGGCTGTTGCTGCTATTGGGAAGTGAACTGTGCTGGGCCAAACTAGGAGAATATTAAGATTTTCTGAGGGAAAGAGAAAAACAATTGTCTACCTTTCAGAAGAGGAACTGGAAAAAAACTACATGGAAAATATATGAAAACGTTTATTTTTGACCCCAAATTGAACAAGTTTACCTAGATCTTAAAAAGCAGCTCAGATGATGAAACTGCAACTATGATTCTGATAACAAATTGAACTAGCTCCTCTTAAGATAACCGGCTAGCAGAGCTTCTGACTGACAGTTTATGTGCAGCAGCAAATCAACTATCCTGATTAACAAGGTTATAAAAGCTCATAAATGAAAAAGCACTTTAATGTGTGGGGGAACTTTTCCAGGGTGGGACTGGGAGGAGAGTGCTGTAGCCTTTTAGCTGGAAGCTAACCGGAGCCTGGGGCTAACATCACCACCCGGTGGAACAGTAGTGACATGAAGGTGGGTTGGTTGGTTCACCGGCACGTGTCAGTCAGCCCGGTAAAAATGATTAACGACACCGAGCGGACTCACATTCACGTTTGAAAGCGGCGCTGATTCCAGAAACCTCTGCACGAAGTGCGTTTGTTGCTCTGAGCCAGCATGACGAACAAGGGAATGGCGCCGCTAACTCAGTTCGGGTGTTGCTTTCCATCCTAAAGGTCTACGCAGGGGGCGGGCGTATTACGTGAACGGACCCATCTGATTGGCCACATATCAGAAGAGCTACATTTGATTGGTCAGATAATACTTCCGCGTAAAAAACAGAGCTGGTTTACAAAAAGTTGATGTATGACACGGATGGAAATGTTTGAACCAAACATTTATCACTGTTTTTGACGTGTTTTGCGATGGGCCTATTGCATGTTCTGTTATCCCGATGACGATAATTTTTCGATATATTATGCAGCCCTAGTTTCAAGCGAAACAAAACTGGTTTGCTGCTAAAAAAATAAAAAAATATGAGATAAAACAAAAAAATTATCAGGCTGAAATAACAGACTTATAATAAAAGGCTCAATAATATGCATTAGATTGGTGTTTAGTTCCCTTTTTCCCCATCTGATATTTACAGTTAAAAATTTGTAAAAATTTGACCTACATTTCAGTAACATTTTATTAACACTCATCTTAGTCAAAATTACACAAATATATCCAGTAAAATATAATGCATTTCATTAACATGCATTTGTATTGGAAATGGTAATAACATTTAATTTCTGCTGCTAACAATGCAATGGTGTCATGTCTATTATGTACGGGTTGGCAATAATCCAGTTCAAATTATGTTCAAAGATAGAAGCATTTGTGAATTATATACTACAATGGCTTGCCGAGTAGCGGTTCTCATCCATAAACAGGATGGTGGGGACTTTTCATCCTCTTGTAGAGTCTAGTCTTTCTTAGTTTTACCAATTACCATCATCATATATTTTTCTGTGCGCCACTTGATCGTGAGACTGCTACCCGTTAGCTTTAGCATTAGCCAATTTGCGTGTAGCTGCACTTTTGATCCCAAACTTTGGACCGGTTCTGCCTTTGTGCCTTTGCTGGTTCCTTTATTTTCCTCCACGGTATCCAGATGACCACACTGTGCACCAGTAAAAAGCATTTTTCTTAAACATAACTTACTTTTGTTCAATAAAGTTCTGGGAAAAATAGTAATTCAAAGATGTTGCACCAGTTCTACGTTTAAAAAAAAAAGACAGACACACAGAGACAGCTTTTTTCGTCGCACTGTACAGTCCTGCTCTGATATGGAAGAGCCCGGGGGGAAATCAGGACGTCAATAGCACCAACTAGCGAGAAAAGCAATTTTTGATCTTTTACTGCAGCGGTTTTAGTGCTTTTTGGTGCACCGCTGCTGATACAGAGCCCCCGTAGTGGCGCTACGCTGCAACTGTTGTTAGAATAACATCCATATAGCTGGGGGCAGAGTGAAATCAGGCTGGGGCGGTGTCGGTACAAGATCTGCTCGGGTGCAAGATTGACTCGGGGTCCTTCGACTGCCGATGACGTCAAAGTACGGCAAACCCATGCGGACAAAATACACTACAAATCTATACTGTTGGAAAGAATTTAGCAGTTTCGTTATTAAAATAATGTTTATTAAGATGTAAGTTTGTGTTTATAATGGTATTTGTAAAATGAAACACTATATTGTATTCATAATGTTGAACTCCTCTTTGAGCACATCCCTTGAAGGATCATAGGTATTAGCAACACCTGTGAAATTGTATTTGCAGGAAAGAAGTGTGTCCCATTTATTGAAGTATTTTGTGTTTAGTTTTTGACGTCTTGTCCATGCGTAGTTCAGGTACGCTCATAGCTGCTATAGCCAAAACTCTGGAGTTAAAAGTTTTCTGGCTTTACTAAAAAACCTGTCTGCACTTATTTGATTGATGGTAGTTTTACTTTCTATTAGACTCCAAATGTAATCATTTGGCACGTTTCTAATTCATAATTTCTAAGAATGTAATTGATATTAGCATTAGCATTCCTATGGGTTTTTCCACGTATATTAGCGTTGTGCTAACCACTCGCTGCCAAATTGCAGCTTTTGCGATTAGAAAAGCTCCTTTTGTCACATCGCAATTTAATTGCACAGTTAATCGTTCAGCCCTAATATACATGCAGCTCTATGCTAAAAGTGTATTTTCAAAGAGGTAATGATGGGTTTCTTTGTAAAAGTTGTCCATCTTTCCAACAGAAAGATTTGCCTGGACCAACGTAACGTGATACCAACGTAACGTGATTACGTAATTCCGTAAGGTTCATGTTCAGCCAATCAACTACTTAGACGTCATCGGCAGTCGACGGACCCCGAGCCGATTTTGCACCCGAGCAGATCTTGTACCGACAGGGGCACAAAATTAGCTGGAGGTGGCCACCACGCAAATTTGAATGCAGGAAAAACCCTGCAAATGCAGTGCAGAGTTTTTACCTGACAATGGCACAACACTGACAGTTTTAGGCAGAAATTTAAAATTTTAACTAAAATTAACTAAAGTGCTAAACTACTGACTACATGTGTCTGAAGCACGATTAGACACAGTCCGGATTTATACAGTTTACCAGAAGTTGATTTGAGGGTGACTTGCTCTTTAACTATCTAAAGCGTTATTATAGCAATACAAATATTTTAACCAAAATCTAACTTAAAAAACTGAGTATTTCACCGAAGAACACATTTAATAACTTAAGCATTACTGGAATTAATATTTCACTTGGATAGAATAGGACTTCATTATTATTAAGTTCAAAATGCCCAAGTCTGCAATGATTAAGAAAAACGGAGCTAAATCAATGTCATATGTCCTTGTCACATAAAAACATTTTTCATTAATAGAAAATAAAAATAATTTAAAAAATCGTGTTAGAATGAAATAACCAGAATAAACGGAAATGCCCGTCAGAAGTAATTATGTGAAAGAAGTGGGTATGAAAAATATCTGCTTATTTATGCTAGGGTCTGATAAACAAAAAACATATTTTGAACGCACATATTTCAAACTGTTACGAATTGTGACAGAAAACGTAGTTAGCTTGACACTTTGTTAGCATGAAACTAACAGTAAAATGGTTACTCAACTCGCTGATGCTAGCGGATTAACTCTCCGCAAACAAGGTTCTAAATACTCAATAAATTAAACACAAATGGAGCAGCGACATATTCAGCCGAGCGGAAAATAAGACACAAAATATACAAGAGGTTGTAACTTACCGAATTCTGATGTGACAACAGCTTAAAATCACAGCTTGGCCCGAGGTTTAAATCCCACTGCAGTCTGGCGGAGCAGCTATCCGATTAGCCTTCTGTGCTAACTAGGCCCGCATTGTTTCTTTAGTCGATGGCGAGTTTGTCCGCATTACAGCGCCAGGTTCCCGGACAAAAACACGCAAATGTCTCATTTTACTAATTATTTAAATAACATAGTTCTAAAAATGTACAAACATTGATTAAAAGATTGTGAATTCCATGTCTAAAAACGGTTTTTCGCGGAACAGCGAAACCCACTTTTCTCTCCGGACCAAACCACGTCCTCATATCAGCTGCGACTCCTACGACATTTCCGTTCTTTACGTGGTTTACGGTAATTCTTTCCCCTCAACTTGAACATGAAAAACATACTTTATTTTTTTAGCCATGTGGACACATTATGAACTTCATGCATATTTTGCATTATTTTATATCAGACAATATGAATAAGTCTTGTGTGAGTAAGACAACAACATTGTTCAAAAAGGGAAGCGGCATTATTTACGGTTCTTTCCCATTATCAGCAAGACGTTCAGGATGAGTTTGTGAAAATTTCTTTCATGAATGACGGGAAAGAAAAAGGGAATTTTACACATTTACTAAGGCACGTAGTGAAAATCATTTATTGGCCCATTTATTTTATTTCCCATGATTATTCAGTCTCTCATATTTTGACATATTTTATTTTATCTGTACAATGTCTCTTTACAAATAGTCTTGAATAAAGGCTACTTGACTATTATTGTTTTAAGTAGACCTACGATCACTGTTTCCAATTTGGTATTTTTAATGTGTTATTGCATGAGAATCTTGTGACAGTGGAGTGAAATTTCACAATGATCATTAAAGAAGATTTTTTTTCTTTGTCAGAAAAGGTGTAGATTTTAAATTCTAGTTGAAGCCCTAAACAACCACGTAATTGCCCAACGAAAGTAGCTTGATTTTACATACTTCAAAAAGGATGATTTTTTCGAGGATAACTTTTCTCCAAAATCCCTTTTTTATTTTTCACAATGCACACTTTTTGATCATGAATTGTTGACTTTGAACACAACAAAGGTTGTTGTGTGGTGAAATTCTGCTCCTAAGATGTGTTCCTTGCTACAAAAATGTCATGCTTACATTTTTTTTAAACCACTGTAACTGAAATTGACTTGATACATTTCAACTGATTTCACAAGTTTGAGGATATTGGGCTGAAACTGTTTTGAGTGCTGAGTGAATGTTGTTGGTTTTAACAAAACAAGTAACTTGATGGCTTTATTTGTAATTTAGTTACTTTCTACAAAATACCATCTACTCAAATTTTCATATTCGCCTACTAATAACTTTTAGTTTGATCAACTCAAGTTTTTAATTCTTTCTTTTTTAAGTTCTGGTTACTTGTTTGTTGAGTGTATCTAATGATAATATGCATGCTAACATTTTGTCAGTACACACACGTGTGCTAGTTGGTGATAGTGCATGTGTGACCTAACACGCCTGAGTATTTTGTTTAAAGTTGTATGCACAGATAGATCTGTGAAAGCTATTGCCCCCTTACAGATATCTTCTGTTATTTTTTTGTCACACTTGAATATTCTTCATATTTTTTTTTGGTAGTTTTTGATTCTTTCAATTATAGCAAGTTGTCCAGCTCCTATCCCCAGACCACTGTTTTAAACCAAATGTGACAGGGAAAAAAAGTCCACTTTGTTTTTTGGCAAAGATGAGATGGGCCTTTGTGTTCTTTTTGGTCCTGAGAGGGTTTGCCTGGGAACTTTTCTATGTAGGCCAGTTTTACTGCATCTCGTTCAGATGACAGTGGCTCAGGGGTTAGAAGTTCACCTTGTAACTGATGTGCAGGTTCAGACACAGTCTCCATCAGAGTCTGTCATGTCCTTGGGCAAGACACTGTAGCCTCAATATTCCACTTGCAACTTCAGTCTGGTGGCTGCTCTGATAGGATTTAGAAAAAATGGAGCTGAAACACCTGGTGTTGTAGTCTGATTCCAGCACATTTTCTGGATGTTTTAGATCATGAACACAGCTGATTTGTTTAATTTAGTGATGAACCATTCCTGTAGACACTTATGAAGGCTGGGGAGATCTTTCACCTCTGAAGTTAAGGTGCTGTAAAGACAAAAGCACAGCTAGGAGATAAGTTTTGCTTTTGGTTCTAGAAATTGACACTAGGGGGTGCTAAAAGCAAGCAAAAACTGTCTAGTTCCCCTTTCAATGCCTGAACTAGCAAATACAGCTGATTTTGATCAAAAACCTTTTTATCCAGAAATTTAACACATTTCAAAGTACTATCAATGCATAACACACGGAAAGGTTTAAAGAATTACTTTCACAAAGGAAAACAATCTAAATGACATTTTTTTGACATCTCACTCAATTTTATAGATAATTGGGATGATTTCACCGAAGCAATAAATGTCAGGCAAAATAAAGTGCAAATTTTCTTTTTATTCTGATTTAATTTTACAGCAGAAATTATGTAAAGCATTCAGAAGACATATTCCACATATAAGGGCAATATTGAAAACACTTTGCATGGCCTCAGCAACAAAATATTCTTTTAAAAACATCAACAAGTTAGTGATGCTTGTGCATGCATGTTTGTAAAACAAAGAAAGATCCCAAACTAGGCTACAAAAAAGGAAAACCATAAAGGAATGAGCAGCTGAGATAGGCATGGAGAACACAACCGCAGGCAGGCAGGGTGGTGAGACAGCAGATGATGGAGGGAGAGAGAGAAAGGGAGAACGGAGGGCGAGAGAGGAGGAGAGGTCTAGTCAAAGATTATCATCTATAAGGGTCTACCATTCTAGCATGCAATGTGGTGTTTGGCCACGCTCTCCTGAAACAAGGCCTGAAAGGTTACACATGTCATTTTTAGGCAGATTTAGAAGAACAGAGGTGATCTCTGCACATGTCTACCACCTGTAATATGGCAACAGTTCTTACTTTTTATTTAATCTAAACTGCAAACTTGTTTCACAGTCACCACCCTCTCCAAAAACGTGAACACACAGATGAGTAGTCTGTATCCGGGGTTGTGTGTGTGTGTCGTATGAGCTGAGGAGCATTTAGACGCCTGTGTGTGTGTGTGTGTGTGTGCACGATATACAAAGAAGTTCAGAAAGAAATCTTTAGTTTTACTGATATGAGAAGTTAAGTGTATAAATAGTGTCTGGATTTTCCCACAGCTGTCTCTCAGTATGATGAATAATCAGAAAACATGTAGAGCACAATCTTATCATCTCTTTGATATTTTATCATCTATTTTTACATTATTAAAAAATGCCCACATGAGGGATCTTGTGTGTTCAAGGTAAGAGGAACTGTATAAATATATTTTTTATTACTTCAAATCAAATTTAGGCAAAATTCTACAAAGAATTTGGAGCTCTTTTTTTCCTTTTTGATCCAGTAAACAGATTTGCTGCTGTGCTAAATAAAAACTGGGATTTTAGAAAGTATGTGTCAAACACGAACCCATTAAAAGCTGTAGATGTTAAATACTGAACTGGACTATCCCTAGGTATGTGCACATGCACACTTCCCTGCAAAATGTACACAGTCAACCAGATGTGCCAGCGGGTTTTGCACACCGTCTCCCTGTTGTTCAACCCTGAGTAAAATCTAAGGGAGAGATTTCTTTGTTCCCATAGACAAAAGCACACGAGAGAAAGAGGGTGGTCACTTTTGTGTGTGTGCAGAACTGTGTACATTTATGTTTGAGGAAGTATGCATGGTGGTGCAACATCTGCGAGTGGCAGAAACAAGGCAAAGAAATAAACTTGATGGAGGGTTTTTAGTTAGGATGAGTTTCATTTCAACGCTGCAAAATGTCTCATCTAGGGGCAAAACTCAACAGAAAACATGCAGTCCCATCCAACAGTGATGCTGTGAACAGAATCGCCAAGGTACCTTTCATACACAGAAGCAGAATTTTCTTCCTCCACAACTCCTAAATACACACGGAGGCGTACAATGATACTGTCTTTTTTTTTGATTACACACAGCATCAATCAGGCCACGAGCATCCATTCATTCCAGACAAATCAGGGCTCCTAACATAGAATCAAATCAACACTGTCAACTCCATTTGTGAACACACAATTTAGGAAAATAAAACAGATAACTGGGAACGTCTCGGAGAATGTACAATAGATCATTTCCTGATATTAGTTTTCTGTTGTTGAGCAGGCACTTTCTAAACAGCTTTCCAGATGTCTAAAGTACACGTTTTATATTTATGGCAGTGACAATGAGGTGAAAATCAAACAAAATCCACCAAACGAAACATTAAAAAGTGGGTAAGAGACATTCTGTTTGGAGATGGAAAGCTGTGACTGGAGGCCAGGCTGGATCCGCACGACTGATGGTCTTAATAAAAGCCAGGATGTTGCTGAAACACAACCACGCTGTAAAAGGATGCAGCACCCTCTTCTCCTCTACGGGGGTCACCAGTCGCCACTTTCCCATTTAAACTTCAGAGTCATCATCACTCGTAGCGCCATTTATTTTAAAAATATACTTGCATCAACACAATCGTCTTCCATGAGTAAGTCTGCCTGAAACAAACTTCAGAGCTTGCAGGTCTACGGTTCAGCTAGCACGAGCCTCCTCGGTCTATCATCAGTGTGCGCTGCTTCTGTGCGTCTAACGGATAACGTTTTGGGTTGTAAGTTTCCCCAACATAACATACTGTATTGTTAGGCAAAAATAGCATTCATAATAAATTGGCACTACTGGCAAAAAGGGTTTTTAATTTTTGCTAGCCATGAAACAAAAACACAAAGTTTAAATGTTTAGTCTGAAAGATCGTGGTTTCAGCATACTTTGTTTTCCCACTTATAGTTCTAACATTAGCGTTTTCGTTTGCATGCTTTAACAAAAATGTTCTTTTCGGTAACACTTAATGCTGGATACTCTCAAAGTGAAGCGGTTAAAATCCTCTCACAGTCCATAGCCACTACCGTGTTCTTTTAGCTGTTTCTTTGTCTTAAATCTCATGCATTATCATGACTCCGCTTTGTTATATCTACATTATTTACAAGCAATACAGCCATCCTGTGTACCCAGGTCTCTTGTTTACGGGATTAAAATAATTTATAATCTTAAATACAGTCCTCTTATGAAAAAGTTTCAGGGTCCTTGTATCCCCTTACCTCGTCAATTTATATACAGAAATATGCAATAGTCCAAAATATGGATTTGATTGCCCATATGGGCTAATAATATGGGGACCAGTGCCCTTTATAGGGGCAGGTATAGGACCCATGTCCTGTACAGAGCAAGCATAGAGACCTCTCAGTGTCAAGAAGAAGTCAAGGCAATGGTATGTGACTATCTCCTCAAAACCAAAGTCAGCATTTGGAGGTTCACGCAGAACAAACTAACAGAGACATTTAACCGTTGGAACATGTCGTATTTTATCACACGGGGGGAGAGAAATACCAGCCTCGAGCTGAACCACTCTTGAGCCAGTTAAAGAAATAATTAGACCCTTAAATAAATTGATTAATTAAATTAAGCACCCAAAATAAGTCGTTTGTCCTTACACAGTTCACATTACACAGGGCAAGGATAGTTTGATGAAGACATGAGACACAACTACACATAGAAATACAAAAAGAAACAACACTAAAGCAGTTTGGCAAGCATGCAGGAGCTCATAGCTCAAACACATGCATCGAATTGAACGAACACGGACACACCACGTCGGGCGAGCAAAGTGCTGCCTCTAAGAACGACTTCATACAAAGTCCATGTAGCAAATTAAGACATCGTTATTCAGACCACTTCCCCCTTTCCTAACAATGCTCCTCTTACATTCAAGTGCAGTTCCTCCCCTTTTTTTTGATTGGGTGACTAGTAGGTTTGTAAGCCTGTGAGTCAGTGCTTGGTGATATTGTGAAGTACTGATGATTTTTGCCACTGTAGCTCTGCAGGATGATGGAGAGGAGGAATAAGCGGAAAAAACCTTGCATGCAAATGCAACATAGAAGTGAGCTTTTTTGGTTTATATTTTCTTTTTTTTTTCTTTCACAGATCTGTTTGGATACAAAACACGCCGGGTATTGTGTTTTTTTTTCTTCTGCATGTCGACGTAGCCTTTCTCTTGAGCCAGCTTTTGTTCTTCACCAGAGCATTTCAGCACACCCAGCTGCCGCCTTCAACAGCGGGACGTCGTCCACAGGCACTTCCTCCCGTTTGTTTATTCATTTTTTTTCTTGTCTGACTCGTCATCTTGCTTTTGCAAAGAAACATACCCATGAAGAGTGCAAAGAATGCCATGAGGTTAATGTGATGGCCTCCCCAGTTAAACTGTGGAGGAGGATCAGTGCTGTGGGCAGAGCCGGGTTCCTGGGCTCTGCCCAGCAGTCTGTCTGTCTGAGCTGCCATGATGGACACCTATCCTGTCCTCAGTCTGTCTGGGAAGAGTTTTTTTTCCTCTAGAGAGGAGAGGGCAGGGATGTGGGAGGGAGAAGGGAAGAAGTGGGAAAGAGAATTAGGATTTGGGGAAAGGATGGGGTTTAGGGAGGAGGAGGGGGAATAGATTGCTCACAGGCTGAGGGGGCTGTGTGCAGGGCCTGCTGATGGGCTCAGGACCCCTGGCCTTTCTCTGCTCTCTGGCCCTGAGGAAAACCAAACACACATTAAACACACCATCAGAGACAGACTCATGTCAGCTTTTGTTTGTGTTTTTGTCTTTTTGTCATTTTTTTTCCATCTAAAGGCAAACCAGAGAAACCGAACAGTTTTTCAGCAAGCCTCTTTAAATCCCCATCCTTCACATACAAGCACACACAGTCCTGTTATCTTCCCCACCCATTGAGGCGCACGCTATAACAGGCAGGCCAAGCAACCCTCAGAGTCCCGTGGTGATAACAGTCAGAACATGCCCCCAAGAAGACTCCTCTGTCTGTCAGTCATGCACAGTTACTGACATAATTCGGCAGTCCTCAGAAAAAGACAGAGGGAGGGAGGGAAGGAGGGAGGGAGGAAGAGAGCAGGAGGGAAGGATGATAATCCAGGAACTCCTCCTCCTCCATCCATCTGCCGTCATGCAAACGGGCACTGGCCTCCAAAAGGGAGGGAGCGAGGGGGGGGACTCACCTGGTTCAGAGGCCTGTGGTCCATCAAGGGGCTTCACAGGAACAGCAAAACAACACCAACTATTAGCACCAGTGAAGTGTGTGCAGGTATCCTAGTGGCCAGTGTTTGCATCACGTGTTTATTAGCATTCCCGTGTGTGTGTGTGTGGAAGAGCTTAAGGGTGTGTTGGAGAATGATGCCTCACCTATGGCGGCAGCGGAGCAGGAACCTCAAGATCTTGCGAGCAGCCTGGTTTTGTTTTTTAGTTATGAGGCTGCTGTGGAAGCACAGGAAAAACACCAGTGTAAGACATTGTTGCTTCATCTCACCTTTACCTAATCCCTGAGAGTTGTTGTCCATGTGTGAATGTGAGGTACCTGAGGGAGTGCCTATAGGAGCGGTAGTATTGCTGGATGAGGACCGCTGCCCTGCGACTCTGCCGGAACTTCCTCTGTTCGTGGAAACTCCGGAAACGACTCTGGATCAGGATGGCTGCTAAGGTCATCCTTTTATAAAGTGCATACTGAGAGAGAAAAGGGCAGAAATGCAAAGTCTTGTGTCACCATTTTCATTTCCAGTTTAATCTCCTAAATGTTGGGTGTCTCATAATTAAACTGATGCCTCCGTTAAAACAAAACTGCTAACATCAAACTAACTTAGATTATCTTTTTGATCATCAAATGTGTTATATCCAAAACTAAATCTAATTCAAAAACCTACAAAGTAGTTATTTGATCAAAAACAAATATTTAAATCTAAAGATGTCTGAAAATAATCAATGCAAAAACAGATTTTCGAGAAAGTAAGAAAGCTGTTTTTTTTCTGCCTGCAGATAAACAGAGATGGAAGTGACGCCACCAACATCAGCAAGGCTCTGGTGAAGGTGACAGCAGTAGCCGAAGAAGTTAAAAACTAATCTCTATTACTCCGTGTGTAGAAAAGAACCAAAATATGGAAAGCCATGTTGTGAGAAAGGTTATCTTATTTTTTAGTCTGAAAAGAAAAACATTTCCTATATGGTAAATACTTGAAATAATGTAAACATTCCTAAAAATGATAAACATGTTCTTGTTTTGAGTAAAAAATACAAATCTGCCAATGGGGAAAGCAAAAGCTGCTTGGCAAAAATTCTAACAATATAATCCATCGTTAGATTTATTTTAAGAATTTTTGCCGAGCAGCTTTTGCGTTCCCCATTGGCAGATTTTTTTTAAACTCAAACAAGAACATTTTATCATATTTAAGAATATTTACTTTATTTCAAGTAGTGCAGGAAAGTTTTTAGAGTGAAATGAAAATAAAATGTCTAAAAAGCAAAGATTGTTTTTTACTGTTCCATGCTTTCGTTCTTTTTTAAACACAGAAACAGTTTTGTTTACCTGTTTTGTAGCTACAGTTTCGCCGACGGCTGCCGGCTTCTTCAGGCTGACGCTGATGGTGGCGCGTCACTTCCTTCTCCGTTTATCTGCAGGCAGCAGAGGACGTTGTCGCCCTCTACTGCCCGCTCTCCCCTCTCCGATGATGCAGTCCCATGCGTGGTCCAGCGTGTAAACTCTGTCGTCCCTATTCATGGTCCCACATCCACGTCTCCTTATCTCGATTGCTTCCTTGATCCATCTTTTGTATTTCTGTTGTTCAGTGGTTATGATCCGTGTGCTGTCCCAGTCCATTATATGGTTTTCTCTTAAGCAATGATCTGTTACGGCTGACTTTTTTATTGTACTTTCTGCTTCTTCTTTTGCTGCTCTTGTGTGTTTACGATTTGCCTCTTTCTCGCACTCCTTTCTATGTTCTATTGTTCGTGTATTGAGTTGGCGTCCAGTTTCTCCTATGTATGTTTTATTGCATATTTTGCATGGGATTTCGTAAATGACTCCACATTTTTGTCCAGCTGATATTTTGTCTTTTGGGTGCACTAGTCTGTTTCTAACTGTTGTGTATGGCTTTGTTGGTGTGTTTATGTTGTGTTTTTTCATTGTTGCTCTTATTTTTTCCGTTATGCCTCTGATGTATGGTAGGGTTATCACTGGTTTTGGTTCTTGTCTTTCTGGGTTTCTGGTTCTTTTTTTGGGTTGTTCTTTGCTTTCTGTTTTTGTTTGTTGTTTTCTTTGTTTATCGCCCATGTCGGGTATCTGCAGGTCTTTAAAGCGTGTTGTATGTGTTTGTCTTCTTGTTTACGGTCTCTCTCTTCTGTTATTATGTTTGCTCGGTGATATAATGTTCTGATTAACCACCGAACAACAAAAACACAAAAGATGGATCAAGGAAGCAATCGAGATAAGGAGACGTGGATGTGGGACCATGAATAGGGATGACGGAGTTTACACGCTGGACCACGCATGGGACTGCATCATCGGAGAGGGGAGAGCGGGCAGTAGAGGGCGACAACGTCCTCTGCTGCCCGCAGATAAACGGAGAAGGAAGTGACGCGCCACCATCAGCGTCAGCCTGAAGAAGCCGGCAGCCGTCGGCGAAACTGTAGCTACAAAACAGGTAAACAAAACTGTTTCTGTGTTTAAAAAGAACGAAAGCATGGAATTAGAAAGACACAGCAAGAACACACCTAAGTTGTTTTTTACTGCCTTGAAAATCAATTTAAGCAGTTTAGCTTTTGTTATTATTTCCCCGTGTCCTTTGTTAGAGCTCACTGCCACACTGGCAGTTTTCACTGATGAGTTTCTTGACCCCCCCCCCCCCCCCCACACACACACACACATACACTTGTTTTTGTCATTAAACATGTAAAACCTTCTACCCTGCCTCCTGCTGCATGCCTTTGATTAAGTTACAGTGATCCCTCTCTACTTCGCGGTTCGTTTATCGCGGATTCACGACTTCGCAGATTTTTTCTTTGGAGCCTTATTCAAGGGAAATTCGCTGATTCGCGGTATTTTTCTATGCGAAATATCAAGAAATTCCTGTTTTTTTTTTTCATCAATTTCATCATAAAATGCACTTTTTGTAATAAAACTATAAAAAACCAAGTAAAAAAAATTTCTATGTAAAGGGAGGGTTTTAAAACTCTGAATACGTACCTGTTAAATAAATACTGTAAATATGGTGTCCCTACTTCGCGGATTTTCACCTATCGCGGCCAGGTCTGGAACGCATCTACCGCGATAAACGAGGGATCACTGTAAACACTCAAACATGACTACATTAAGTCTATTAAAGCTGTTGGACTCTTTACAAAATAGTCTGATCCTACCTGCTTGTATCTTTTATAACAGCGTTGGATCACTGCCGCAACCTCTTTGTGTTGCTCCTGAATGGGACCCTGGAAAAGAGATCAGGAAAAAGCCGACCTTAGTGACTGACACTGATACGTTGTCATCATGAGCTTTTTGAGCTGGATTAAAGAGAATAAAACTGAGTCAGTGTACCACCGTGTGTGTTTGTGAAAGACTGGAGGTCACACTTGCCTTGTGTTTTCTGAGGGAGTGCAGAGCATGTCTGATGGTCTCACACAGCTCTTGCTGCTCGGCTTCAGTCATGGCTAGACAAGAGGAGTTTGTTTTTAACCTCTCCTCTTTCATAGCTGCACAGACGAAAGAGCTCCAATCAAATGGAGAGGGCGCGGCTTGGTTAGCTCGAGGACTTTGCTGATCCTCCAGCCCTGAGAGGGAATTTGGTTTGGGGCTAGGAGTCTGGGGCTTGAACTTTAGAAACCTGTACAAACAGCAAAATACAGACACAGTTTAGCTCTGTAAGCTGTGTGTTGAGTTTAAGCAACACACACATATCACTGCTGAACAAACATGGCTCTATTTCATCAACCTAACAAGTAGATTGTTTAATTTCTGACTGTGAAATAGAAACATCTGACTGATGTTTCAGCCGCTGAAAAAAGCAGGATATGTTTTGTTTTGGATGATGGTCCAGCATGGGATGCTGTTAATTGGATTCTAGACATGCATGCTGGACCATCATCCAAAACAAAACACAACAGGTGCTGTTTTTTTTTCAGAGGGGAGGTTCGATGCAGAGGTGGCATTTACCTTTCTACCTCACTGAGATAGCCTGACAGTGACTTTACATCACTGCTGATCTCAACCTTCCCAGCATCTGCTTCAGTGTCCACAGCCTGCTTAAGGCTCTCAGCTGAAGCACCCATGAAGTGATCAGCAAGCATTGCAATGTCCACCTGCAACAAGGTATAAAACATGACATTACTCTGTAGGAAACATGGGATCAACAGGAGGATTGCTCCTCTTACCTGTATATCCTCTGTGTTATCGTGATAGGTGAGCAACTCTGTCTCCTCTCCCCTATCAGACAGCACTCTCTGGTGCAGGTAAAGAGCCAATCGCTCTTTTCCTTGAATCCTTCTGGCTAGACTGTGGTGCCCGAGAGCCTGTCTCAGGCTCCATCTGCTGCCCCCGTCAGACTCCCCTATCCTGGCCTGCAGGTGGGAGAATGGGGCACCGGGGAGCTGAGGCCGGCTGGAGCTGGAGCTGGAAAGAGGTGCATTCTGGCAGCTGTGGTTAGAGGATTGAGTCTGTAAGGATTTGAGGAGGATGGAATGTTGAGGATTAGGACTCGGAGAAAAGTTGAGGTGGGAGTTGATGGGGCTGGCGCTGGGGGGTGAGTTAGCTAGTTGTTGCTGGCTCGTTGGGTTGGATTTGAGTCTCTTGGCTGGGGGTGGATCTCCTTGCTCTCCCTGGGGTTCTGGTGGGGTTCTTTGTCCAGTTTGGCCCCAGCTCTGGTTCTGGTTGTCCTGTTGTCTCTCTGCTCGGTTTCTCCTCATCTCTGGAAAGGCAAAGATGGTCAAAAATAAGAGAGAATAAAAACAAGTCTTACAAAGGCTGGATGAATTCCCTCTAAATGGGATTTTCTAACCACACACACACAAAAAAAGGCTAGAGGGCTCTTGTTGTGTTTGATCTGCTTACAAGTTGTCTGACAATAACTGACAACCCTCTAACATGGGACGACACTGCCAGGACTCATCAGCCTCCACGTGTGAAAGAGCGACTCGAGAAACACGAGTCATTAGTTCACAAATATTTATTTTCACTTTTATCACATGAGATATATTACAACACTATGTACATGGGTCGATTCATCCTATCTGGCTATACACTTATTCCCTAAACACAGAGAATGACCACATGTTGTGGTCTACACCTCATGATTGTGTTTTAATGTGTGTTTCTTCTCTGTGCAGGTTGGCTGTGCTCTTCCTGCATTTCCTATCCCTCTGTGGAGCACCGGGGAGCGCCACAGCTGACTGCTGCAATATCCTGATTTCCACATCTTGTATTTAAGCAGCTGTTGTTTTGTAGTGCTGCTTTGAGTCTGTGGATTGCCATTTGTAGTCTTGTTTCAAGTAAAACCTGTTAAGCCTTATTTCACACTTATGTGGTGATGTTTTTGTCATTAAAGGAACTCAGAACTGGACCAAGTCATCCTGCCTCCTGCATTTGGGTTTATTTCTGAGTACCCTCACGTGACACCACTTGCAGTCATGAGTCACACTAACCCTAACCCTAGCATGTGATATTTTAATTTAAAACACTGTAATCAAACGCAACAGGCAAAACAGGTAACCCTGCGCTGCAGCCAGATGCAACGTCATTTCTCTAGAATTCTTATTAAGGATGAGAAGAACCTTCAAAAATTAGAATATGCTCAGATACCACATCACCTTCCACATATATGTCATGAGCTCACTGAGCGTCAGATTACCAGATTCATATTTATTTATTTATTTATTTGTTTGTTTGTTTATTTATTTATTTAAAGAATGCCAGCCATTGTATTGATGTGTAACCTGGTCCTGAACATAAAACAGAATTCCCCCTGAGTGCAATTAGCCATCAAACCATAGCAAGCACTTGCACCTGAGTTTGGGTTGGTGGCAGGGTCGCTGCTAGTTCCCCCAGTCTGGGCTCCTCCTCTCCATCTATCCATCCAACTCTCTGCAGGCTGGCCCTGAGTTTGAGGACTTTGTTGCAGCTGCTCCAAGAGCTCAGCCAGTCGAGTGTGACCGCGGGATCGGGCAATGTTCAACGGCAAGCGTCCCAGAGAATCAGGAATGGCGAGAGCTCTCGGGTCCCACTGGTAAAGAATCAGCGCTGCCTCGGTGTGACCCAGAGCACAAGCCCACATCTGTGGAGGACAAAATGAAACAAACGTTACTGACAGAAAAAAAAAACAGAAAAACACCATCACATTAAGGCATCGATTACTCACAAGCGGCGTGCACGAGAAGTGGTCGACGTTGAGAGGATCCACTTCCAGCTCAAGGTCAATACTGTCGGCGTGCTTTGTGCTGAGGAGTGAGACAGCAGAAGTGAAATGGCCGTCTCAGCCTTCACGGCGGTGTTGTGTCTGAGTGTTACTCACCGCCAGCGAATGAGTGTCTGGATGAGCCCCGCGTAACCCTGCGCTGCAGCCAGATGCAGTAACGTCATTCCTCTGGAGTTCTTATTATGGATGAGCTGATTGGAAGAGGCCCAACATGACTGAGACATCATCTTCTCACACACCACCACCACACGACCTTCAAATGTGCCGTGATCAGGAGAAATCTAGAGGGTTGAACAAGGAAAAGCGTAAAATAAGATTTATCTTTGGGCATTTTTCTAGAAGATTACTAATATTTAATTGTGGACAGTTAAAATGTAATTAAAGATAGAAATAATGTATCTTTATGCAATTTTTCACATGATTATAAAACTTTAGCTGTTGATGCTTTGGATAGTATAGGAATTATTTATCAAACGATTCCTTTCTGATTTGTTAGTTCCACATGAACATTCCACATTGACTGTGCTGTTCATCCACAACATTTTCATTTAGCTGAGAAAGAAAATGTTTCACTCCAGCAGAACCATTGGCTTACTTGAGACCGCTGATCTGAGGCTCCTCCCCCATCCACTCCTCCGCCCTTGGTTGCCATGGCATCTGAGCTGGGGTTCTGATTGGTCATTTCAGCCATCCTCTGCTCCATCTGCTCCAAGCGCTCCAAGATAGACATCCTGAACTGGGTGTCTGTAGTGATGCAGGTGAGAAGTGTAAACACCGGCTGGTTTGGGTAAAACCATTAAGCATTATGTTCAAATCTACTCAGAAAAACAAAATCTTATATAAAAGCTATTAATCAGAGAAATTGTAAACTCGATAAACAAATGTTTATTAGTTGGTGGAGAGGTAATTTGTGTGTGTTTTCTTGACCCTTAGTTTAAATCCTGCTGCAGTTTTGCTGCAGTGCACCTTATATCATCCCACCTGCTGCTTTCTCACTCCAGTGTGTTTCCCTCTACTCTCATTTCTCTTGTTTTTTCTCTTTCTGTGGCTCAGAGTCAATAGAGAGGTTGGAGACAAAGTGACAAAAAGGCTCAAGAGTAAAAGTTTGTCTTGATTCCACCAAAATGACTGAGGAAAGTGCTCCTAAACTGTTGCTGCCAAACACATGAAAACACATCTCTTTGTTTTTAACTAATCTAAACAATGTTTTCAAATGTGTCATCGCACATTTTCACAATAGATCATCTTTAATCACTGATAAATAAACCGATGGAGTCATGAAAATTGGCAATTTTGTGTGAAAAACACCCAGGGATGATTTGGATTAAGTTTCTCACATGAAGGCATACTGCACAAGCAATGCACCAGAAACTGGCGAATTTTTGGTATAATTGGCTTAATCTGTGGTCAGCTGATCTGAAACAGAAAAATCAGGTAGAGTAGGGGATGGGAATGTTATCTGTGCTTCTGATGCACTGCAGAAGAAACTCTAAAAAATAGAGTATGGTGCAAAAGTTCATTTATGTCAGTAACCTAACTTAAAAGGTGAAACTAACATACAAGAAACCCATTGCATGCAAAGCCAGTTATTTAAAGCCTTTTTATTTGTTATAATTGTGATTATTGTGGCTTACAACTTATGAAACTCCCACATTCAAAATCTCAGACAATTAGAATATTGTGAAAATATTCAATATTCAATACAGACTAAACATTTAAAGAGCAAGTCACCCCCAAATAAACTTTTTTTTGCTGATAAACTAAATAAACGAGTGTCTAATCGTGCTGCAGACATGTGTAGTCAATAATTTGGCACTTCAGTGCATCTTAGTTAAAATTTAAATATTCTGCCTAAAACTGGCAGTGTTGTGCCGTTGTCAGGTAAAAACTCTGCACTGTATTTTAAATTAAATCTGCCACCGCTATTGGCTAAGAGGTATGCTATGATGTAAACTGGTACATTATGATGTCATAATGCTGTTGTGAGTCTGTGTGTGTGTGTATTTGTTAGCAGCTCCTCCTTCTCGGTCTGCCAGGCAACAGCATTTGTTGCATTTTTCAAACATGAAGTGGGAGTGGAGTTAGACTCTGGTAGGGGTTGACTTGCTCTTTAATGAGTCCTAAACACCTGCAAAAGGTTTCTGAGTCTTTATATGGTTTCTCAGTCTAAGCTGAATTGCTGAAGCAAATGGACTTTTGCACCACATTCTAATTGTTTGAGTTTCACCTGTACACCTGGACCAATGAAGAGTAAAAAAAATCTGACGTTTCCCCCCGTCCTTAAATTATCAGTAAAAGATACGTGACAACAGATCCTTTCTGGGAAGTGTTTATTTACTGCCATGGCCCAAAAAATTCAGATAACCAGAAAAGGTTTTCTGATTAACATTGTTCTCTAGAAAAACTAACCAACATTTTTGGGCTAAACCAGCTCTAAGAAATGATCAGAATCCAGTATCAACACTCAGAACTAGAGCGGTGCATCTTCTATGAAAATCAACAATGGTTTCCCTCTAAAATTTATGAGGCTTTATTTTCCACATTTTTGGGAAAAAAAAGGCCTGTATTTGATATAGCGCCTTCTAGAGTCCTGGAACCCCCCAAGACGCTTTACAACACAGTCATTCACCCATTCACACACACACATTCACACACTGGTGGGGATGAGCTACAATGTAGCCACAGCTGCCCTGGGGCACACTGACAGAGGCGAGGCTGCCGAGCACTGGCGCCACCGGTCCCTCCGACCACCACCAGCAGGCAACGTGGGTTAAGTGTCTTGCCCAAGGACACGACGACAGCGACAGACTGAGCGGGGCTCAAACCTGCAACCTTCCGATTACGGGCGAGCACTTAACTCCTGTGCCCATTTTTGATCGTATGCACTAGATTGACACAGTACGAAGTTACAACAGCAAAACATTTACAACAAGATCACATAAAAACCCCATTTTTTACACCAAAAACAAAATTCTGACAGACTTAAAGTTGGTAAAACTAATGATGCTGCTAGATATGTTATTCATGGCATAAATTGGATTATTTGCAATGGCTTGTTAAACTGGAAGCCTTAAGGTTTGTTATAAAATCCTTTTAAAAATAGCTCTCAGTTGGTCTTCTTAAAACTGGCATAGCAAGGTCATGAACCTAAAAAAATACGTGCATGTGCTTTGTTTCAGGCTTATCAATAAAAAAAGTTTTAATCTGATTAATCAATCAGAATGTTATTCTTAAAAAGGCAAAAGGCAGAGCACATCTGTAGAAATCCAACTAATGTGTGGTGGAAGGCCTTTACAGGAGCTAGCCTCCTTTGTTTGCTTCAGTGGAGCTGTCCACTCCTTTAAGTGCTGAAAGCAGCAGCTCTAATCAGCTAATTATCTAGGCCTAATTATAAGGTGTGTAACTAAATTGGCGCCACATTGCACATTGCATCAATACAGCCACGATTTTACCCAGCCACATCTACAGCACCACAACAAACAAAAAAACACGCAGCTGCAAACAATACACACCTGGACGCCAGTAAACAGCGCGCGACGAGCAGTTTGCGCCAAAAATAAAACAAAATAACAAACCAGCGCGTCTCTATCTGCGGCTGTTTTTGTTCTCCTTCCTGCTTCTGCTCAACCTCCGTTAGTTTCGGGCTCACAGGTCGCTACTCCAACCGTGCAAAACACAAATAAAAGGGGGAGGGAGGGAGGAAGAGAGCCGTCTCCACGTTGTGTGTGCGAGGGGGAGAGCAGCGCTTCAAATCCGCCCGCCACACTCCGAGCTGCAGGAGGCTCGGTCGTCATCGCCCCCCAACACACTGCACACACTGCTAAAACGGGACAATGTGGTGTGTTTGATAAGAATCATGCTATTTTGACTCTATTCTACCCCCGCAGAGAGCCTTGTTGCTCTGTTATTTAACGGCAAACAAAGCGCAAGTTTCGCTTTCTCCGCTCAGACACACGGAGCTCGTCTGGCTCGGCTGTCTTTGAGCAGCGCACTGATGGAGATAGCTGTCCAGAGGTTTCCAGTCAAAAGGAGCGGTATTGTTCCGTCGTCGTGTCCTTGTCCTTTCCAGCCAGCAGGCAGCCTGCTGTGACTAAAAAGCCGCATTGCGCAACGCGGAGACGGAGGCAAACATGGAGTCAGGACATACCTGGCCCGGGGAGGGGGTTCCAGGATGCTTCGTGCATCAAAATGCAAACGTACCAGATTAACGTGACCCCAGAGCGGGAAGTACACTTAAAACAAGCCCCACAAATAGATGGAAGCGTCCTTCATTGTCTTTATGTAAACCACTCAATAGCCTCTGCGGCTTTACCCTCCTTTAATTACAATGTAAGAAGTTCTCTAATTAGTGCCTATGTGTTCCAAATAAACAAGCTAGGATAAACAAGTCATTATCAGACACAAATATTGAATACAACTGGTTTGTGTTGGCTATGATTCCTTTTACAACCAACAACAAAGAGAAAATGTATTTCCACACATGGTGAGGGCACAAAGCAGTATATGAAAGTCCTCACAAGATAACATGAGCATTTTCTTTCCTAAATGATATCAACAGGTCTTTCTTGAAATACATCATACTGGTCTCACGTGCCATGTCTTAAGTCGTCTCTCATTTTGATGTGTTTTTCTTCCACTAAGCCACATTTTCTCTTTACGGTTTAAGGTGGTCTTGGTTATAGTTTTAATTGTTTTAATTTTTATTATGGGCAGCAGAATGCTTCCTAAACTCAAAGGAGGAACCACAGAAATGTTGACACATAACAGTCAAAAACACAACAAAATACTTTGGAAACTTAGTTTGTCACAAAGACACAATTTGTGCTAAATTATCAATAAAAATAATGGTTTTCTGTTTAGAAGGTGTTCATTGGTTGCAATTCCTCAGAATGGACACCTCTTTTATTTTTCAACCTTTATTTAATCAGATGAGTTGATTGAGAACTTATTCTCATTTACAACGAAGATCTGGCCATAGGCAGCAGCAACAGACACATAATTAGCTTTTCACCAAGAAAAACAGATAGATAAGATACAATCACACAAGAAAACAATAAGATAAAACAGTTAGACATAAAAACAAAGGACTGTTCTCATGTACAATATGTACAAGCAATCAAAACAGTCTTCAAGGGCTCAGAAGCAGGCACAATGATCAGGAACTACTGATTGCAATGAAGTATTGAAGGTAGATGATGGAATGCAGGTAGTGAGATTTTAGTGATTTTTGCAGCTCATTCCAGTCGTTGGAAGCAGCAAACTGGAATGAGGAGCAGCCAAAGGAGGTGCGAGCTTTGAGAATAACCACAGAGATTAAGTTACTGGAACATAAATTGCGCTGGTTGTTGGAAGTGACTAATGGGTGAAGATATGACAGTGTTCTACTGATGAAAGTTTCTATATAAATTGATACAAATTGAACATCCTGCCGGAATGGAGTGATGGCCATTTAACGAGTGAGTACAGATCACAATGATGAGTAGTGAAACGGATTGCTGAGTGAAAAATTACATTGAGTTTATGAAGAAGTTTTGTTTTCCACATCAGGGGTTGACCGATATATCGGTCAGCTGATATAATAGGCAGATATTTGGCATTTTTTATATATCAGCATTGCTGATATAACTCCTTGGTAAAGTCAGTTTAAAGTCAGGCACATCCCCGGGCAGCCTGGTGCAGCTGCTGAATTCTATTTAAATGTATTTCTACTTTCCTGAATAACGTGCTTAAACAAGTGCTCTAAA